CCTCCTCTTCCTCACCAATCTCTGCTAGCCTGCCCTCTCCTCTTCCTCAACAATCTCTGCTAGCCTGCCCTCCCCTCTTCCTCAACAATCTCTGCTAGCCTGCCCTCTCCTCTTCCTCAACAATCTCTGTTAGCCTGCCCTCTCCTCTTCCTCAACAATCTCTGCTAGCCTGCCCTCTCCTCTTCCTCAACAATCTCTGCTAGCCTGCCCTCTCCTCTTCCTCAACAATCTCTGCTAGCCTGCCCTCTCCTCTTCCTCAACAATCTCTGCTAGCCTGCCCTCTCCTCTTCCTCACCAATCTCTGCTAGCCTGCCCTCCCCTCTTCCTCAACAATCTCTGCTAGCCTGCCCTCTCCTCTTCCTCAACAATCTCTGCTAGCCTGCCCTCTCCTCTTCCTCAACAATCTCTGCTAGCCTGCCCTCTCCTCTTCCTCAACAATCTCTGCTAGCCTGCCCTCTCCTCTTCCTCAACAATCTCTGCTAGCCTGCCCTCTCCTCTTCCTCAACAATCTCTGCTAGCCTGCCCTCTCCTCTTGCTCAACAATCTCTGCTAGCCTGCCCTCTCCTCTTCCTCAACAATCTCTGCTAGCCTGCCCTCTCCCCTTCCTCAACAATCTCTGCTAGCCTGCCCTCTCCTCTTCCTCAACAATCTCTGCTAGCCTGCCCTCTCCTCTTCCTCAACAATCTCTGCTAGTCTGCCCTCTCCTCTTCCTCAACAATCTCTGCTAGCCTGCCCTCTCCTCTTCCTCAACAATCTCTGCTAGCCTGCCCTCTCCTCTTCCTCAACAATCTCTGCTAGCCTGCCCTCTCCTCTTCCTCAACAATCTCTGCTAGTCTGCCCTCTCCTCTTCCTCAACAATCTCTGCTAGTCTGCCCTCTCCTCTTCCTCAACAATCTCTGCTAGCCTGCCCTCTCCTCTTCCTCAACAATCTCTGCTAGCCGGCCCCTTAAAAAATCCGTTTCAGTTACACTTGTATTGCCGAAAATATCCATGGTCGTATCGAACACACCGCACGGATCCACTTGATCAGCAGGTGGGCCTTTTATTGATATAAATTTTTATATTCATGCACATTTTAGTGAAATGCAACAATGCCAAAATTAAAGTATTACAGTATACTCCATTTTCAGCGTTCCGCCCGCCATCTTCGACCCACCACAAGCCGCTTCAGTTGAACCGGGCGAACAGGTCGAATTTTAGAATTTGAAAAACAAAACGTTTCGCAAAAAGTGCAAGTCGTCGAAGCAGCATCCTACTTTTTAAAACGTGTTTCAACAAAGTAATACTAACCACAATATTTTATGAGTCGCTGTAGTCATCATTATTTAAGGGGCTAAAGTCTAAATCGCTGAAAAATATCAAATAATTATGCAAATTCAGGTCACATTCCGGTGCCGGGCCCGAGGCGTCCCGAAGCCCGAAATCTCGTGGTTCTTCGAAGGGGCCGAGATGCCGCTGAAGCAGGGAAGATATCAGGTGGGAGGTTTTTAAAGGGAGTGGAACAGCTCGGTTTCGACTCGACTTTATTTATTTTGCTCTCATCTTTAGGCAATTTTAAGGGACGTGGTGTCTACATTAGTAAGAGATAAAAGTTTTCTAAACGCCAAAAAATTTCGTGTTTCAGAATAACTGAAAATCGCAAAAGTTTTTCCTTGATTAATGGTTTCTGACAAAACTCGCAAAAATCGAAAAAATTATTTAAATTGATCTTAAAATCATTGAAAAACCAAAAATGCATTCATTTTTCCGATTAATTATCATGTTTCAAGTAGCGTTGATCCCTCCAAAATTTTCAGGATTGCAATATAATCAAGGACCGTTCTTGTATTAGTGCCAAATAAATCAAGTACAAAAAATTTTTAGGTTTGTTAAGCCGTAGTACCCTTCAAAAACTTACTTCCTGTATTGATTTGCCATTACAAAAAAATTTGTTGAAAATTATTCTTTTGTGTTTTCAGACCTCCGACGACCGGACCGAGATGACCATCTCGCACGTCTCACGTCAGGTAATTCTTAGTTACGAAATTAAGTCATTTTTATCGATAAGGTTCCAAACTTTCATTTGGTTTTTTCAAGTGAATTAAATCATTTTCTAAATCCTTACAGGGCTTATTAAATGATGCCAAGTATATGTTTGGTTATTTGTTTAATTCTCCGTCGAAACTTGGTTAATCGAGACGGACAACAGAACGCAGATTGGTGGTTAGAGAGGACACGAAGCGAACCACATGGTTGAAACATCTTTTTTTTTAAGAACAATCGTCCACTTCTGAAACTTTTTTTCGGCACAAGCCTAGATTTTTTTATAAATTGCGGATGCGTTTCTAAATTGTTTTTAACTATTCCTGAGCATAAACACTGCACACATTTTAACCAAAAAAATTTAAAAAATAAAAATTAGGTCGACAATCCTATAGAACCTTTAGGATTCGCGGAGGGGGGGGGAAGACCCAAAATGACCAAATTTTCGAATTTTTCAAACATTTTTCTAAATTTTTCTGAAAGTTCTTCTGCTTTAAATATAGTTAAAACTTAACAAAAACAATTCGAAAACATTTTATATTTGATTCATAGGTCAACCGGGACCACCAGGAAAAAAATTGGTTTCCTTAAGCACAGTGCAAATTTGAAATTATACGCCACCTCATGAAACGGGGTTATTAATCTTCCGAAATAGAACTGCAGGCGATATAACTTTGAAACATCTTTTTCAAAAATTTCTGAAAAAGGGTTTATTGTGGTTGGCGACTTTTAAATTTTATCACTATATTTTAATTCTTAGGATTGTTCGAACGAGAGTTTTATAGAGGATTTTCGGTTCTTTTTTAGTCTAGGTTTTAGGTTTAGTCTAGGTTTTAGGTTTAAGAGGAATCCTTTTTAAAGTTGTTGGAAAATACAAAGGACCATTGAATTGCTCCCGAAATCTGGGATCTGAAATTCCGCACCAGCGCCTTCGACGAAAGCTTAATCTTTGAGAAATCAACTATACTTGTATCTTTAAAAAGCCCTTTTCCCCACCAAATGTCACAAAAATTGTTTATGCTGTTATTGATTTTTGATTTTCTAAAAAATGAATTCAAAGTTTACTTTTGATTTGAGGATGATGATCGTGGCAAAATTTCGTTCTAAATAGGGTTGTTAAATTTATTGAAAAATTTTTAGAAAATATAAATTAGCAGCCAATATTCTTTACAGCTCAAATTTGAAATTGCGCACCAAAACAACGAGAATTGAGCTCGTAGAAATCACCTACATGTGTTACAAAGTTGAGACATAATTTTTATTGCGAAACAGATATAAAGAACAAATTTCTGAACCACTTTTTTTATTTAATTTTTGATAGTTTATTGATTTTAGTCTTTTTTAATAGCTTAGTTTAATTGAATAAGTCCCACCTTCAATTGTAAATTTTCAGGATGAGGGTGTCTACTCCTGCATGGCCGGAAATAGTGTCGGCGCCATGATGGCGGAGGCGCGGCTCAGCGTCAAGGGCAAATTGCAGGTTGAGGTGTGTAAAATTTAATCCAGATCTATTTCCCGCCTAAGCATTAAATTTTGCGATATAAAAGTCCAATCTCGTATTCAGGTAGACAAGGTGGTTGACGACGCTCTCCTGAAAAATATCGTCCAGCAGGCCACGGAAAATGTGAATCGGTACGCGTTTTGGTGTTTTTATTGCCAATTCTCTGAAAAATACATTACTATTTATTTAGATTTATTAGAAAATATAAATAGTTAATAAAGTAGAAAAATCAGGCAAACGAATATAAAGTCGGCATATTTGCAAAGGTTTATTCTCCAGATCTACAATAGGGTGGATTGCTGGGTTGCAAACCTACACCTCTAGCCTAGGATTTGAAACACACATTTTTGCACAAATTTTTAGATTTTCTTAAAAAATTGTTAAAATTGTTTTTTTTATGATTTCCATGAAAATAATTTATCTAAAGTTTATATATTTAATTTAATGGCTTGTTCAGCGCCATCGCCAACACGAAGACGCAATTGGCGCGCGATGGAGTGAGAAGCACTTCGGATTTGAAGCGACTGATGAAGTTTGCCATCCCGAAGCAGGTAAATTAATCATATAAAATATAATTCTGCTGAATAGAAATTATAAACCCACTATAAATAATGAAAGCTCAAAAATTAAAATCATAGATTTTGTAAAAAAATTTTGAAATCATCGAACTTTTTGAAAAAAAATGTTTCAGAAAATTTATTAAGTGTTGGGTACAAACACACCAACAATCAAGTCTACATGCCGATGGAAAAATTCTTTAGAGGGCGGCTTTCTCGCTATACTAATAAAGTTAAATCGCTGAATATGGGCACTTTGGCATTATCGGGGGGGGGGGGGGTTTCGATTTTCGACCAGAATGGCTGATTTCTCTTATTATTTCAAACTTTTGAAAGAGGTTAGGTTTTTCGCTAGACTTTCCACTGGTAAGATAATTTAATTTACTAAAAAAACTATTAGAACAATTAATATTACGTTACTACGCCCTTCTGGACTTGTGGAAAACCAGCCCCCCCCCCCCCTGTTAATGCAAATGGTCCCATAAATGCTTATTTTCCGCCAATCCAGGCCGTCGAGCTGAGCAAATCGCGTGAAATCTACGAGGAGTCGATTCGCCTCGTGCAGAGCCACGTCGAGAGAGGTGCTTTTAAGGAATATATTCGACAAAAAATAGCGTTGTCGGTCTATTGACCGTGTTTTAAATAACCGTTAAAAAAGCCAAAAGACATCGAAGAAAAATATAGCGAGGCTAAAACGTAGCATTAAACATACCGTATCGAAACGACATTTTGGCCAGAGAATGAGGAAACATTACCCCCCGGGAAAAATTTTTGTTTTGCACGTTTTCCTGAAACATTTAATTTTTTAGAATTTTTGCTGATCAAATAATGGCATTAAAATTAGGATACAATGCCCAATTATTAACTTAAAAAAATAATTATTTTAACGGGAATTAAAATGTCATTTTTAAAATGAAATGTCCCAATTTAAAACTTTGTCGCGTTTGATTAGCACGTATTTTAATATACCAGTAAACACCAAAATATTAAAATTTCCAGGCCTAATGCTACCCGTCGGCGACCTGCATCCGAAGAACGTCTCCTACGAGTCGGTGCTGGCCGTGTCTCACGTGCAGACCATCATGGAGCTGTCCGGGTGCCAGGCCGGAATTTTTAGGTATTTTACGCGCTTTTTCTCGTTATAGGAATTATTTTTAATTTTTCGTTTGGCAAATTATAGAATCATTTTATTTTTAATTCCTTAATTATTTTGATATCTACTGTTTTATTTAGCTTAAAGTATAATCTATTAAAAAAAATATTATACGAATATTTTCAGGAATCCCTGCAGCGACATGTGCTTCCATAATAAATATCGGTAAGCCTGTTCAAGCTTTTACTGCAATCAGCAATAATGGGTCCTTGGATTAATAACATTAAGATCCACTTCAGAATAAATTTTTTTGAGACATATATTTGTAAAGGCCAAATTTTTTCTTGTTTACAGGAACCAAATTTTTTCTAGGTCCCAATTTTTCTCGTAACCCCTTAAAAGAACTATCCATCGAAATCCTATTATCTCTATTGTCAATGGAGCTCTTTTCAAATATATTATTTTGACGCAATTCTGATAGCGCCATTGAAAAGACACGCCTTACAAATTTTTATTTAAAAAAATACAGCAAATATCTATTTTTTTCGACTAAGAATGCCCGCTTTTTGTTCAACATTTTTTTGATTGTTTCACCAATTTTTTTGATCGTTTTGTCACTTGAAACATAGTTAAATCTTCAAAAAAAAAAACTAGAAAAATAGTACGGTTAAGCCACTTGGAGTTTCGGAACCTTTAGAAGAAAAAAATAGTTTGCCCTGGTAAAAGCCTTTTGGTAATAAAGAGAAATTCGACACTGGAATCAGGCCAATAGAGAAATCGATGAAATAGCCAGATATATGAAACATTTAATTACAGCTCCTACGACGGCCAATGCAACAACCTCGACCACCCGATGTGGGGCGTTTCTCAGATGCCGTTGAAGGTATCTGCCAGAATACCTTTTTTTAGGGAAAATTTGATGAGATTCTTAGAGCAGAGACGGAAGAATCTGAAAAATTCCGAAATCGATGTTTCATCAAAAATGAAGTCATTAATTCACCTAGAACTGATAATGGAAACGCCTAAGCCCAAGCCTAATCTGAGCCTAAGCTAAGCCTAAGTTAAACCTAAGCTTAGGCCCAAGCAAAGCCTAAGCCAAGCCCAAGCCTACGCCTAATCCAAGTCTAAACGTACTTTAGCGCCTGCTCGCTCCGGTCTACGAGAACGGCTTCAACACGCCGGTCGGCTGGGAGAAGAACAAGCTGTACAACGGGTTCCCCATGCCCAATCCTAGAGATGTGAGTTTAAAAAACAGCTAAAAATTAACTAAGAAATCGTTAGAAATCCATCTAAAATCAAATAAAGCGTCGCTCTAAAAAAACGAAATGCACAAAAATACTTCGGAAAAGTGTTTCACATAAGTTACACTGGCAGCGATTTTTTACACCTAGTCATCGAATAAACAGCAATAAATTGTAAAATTAAAAAATTTGATTTTTATTCTTTGTTATTCTCAAGTTGAAACAATATTTTTTAATGTGATTAACCGATTATTTAAATGAATTTAGGTATCACGGCAACTGATCGCTACGCACGACATTACCCCGCACGGCCATCTATCATCTATGGTGATGCAATGGGGACAGTTTGTTGGTGAGTCAGCCTAAGCCTAAGCCAAGCCTAAGCCTAGGCATAAGCCAAGCCTAAGCCAAGCCTAAGCTAAGCCTAAGCCTAAGCATAAGCCAAGCCTAAGCCTAAGCTTAAACCTAATCTAAGCTAGCTAGTAATAAGTGTTTCGGGAATTGACAAAAACTATTTGAGGGATCTGCCAACAATCTGGCAGTAACTGGCTCGCATAAAACTGAAACAATCAGCTTCAAAAAAAGGTTAATTTAGATGGTAGTCTTAATCTATTAAAATCCTACTATATATAAAAAAAATAGTGTTTGTGTGTGTGTGTGTCTATTTGCATGCAACTTCCGTGAGTCTGTACCGCACCTACAGCCTCAGGGGAAGGTTTTTAAAGGGGCTCAGAAGTCAAAATTAGTGCGTGCGGGGATTGAACCTACTGGTCAAAGAACGCAAGGGTCACTGCCGAGAAGTGCCAGAAAAGTGATTTAATTGCGAAAAAACGTAAAATATTTGAGAAAATCCGGATTCTTTCTGGGGCGAAAACGACATTTTGAGTGCGCGGCGATTACCTGTCGTAATGCCTTGTAAGACACCCAATCTTTCGATCTCGGCGATTCCCTGGTCAATTTTCATAATTTAAAGGTCTGGAATGATCAAAATTCGGTGAAGATTCCAAAAATAGCGTCAGAATTTTTTAATTCAGGCGTTTTCGCGTCCAAACAGGGGCAAAAGACTAAGCGGCGCGGTCGCGTTGCGGCGGCATCTGGCTATTTGCCAGGAATCACAGCAGGGGGCCGTGGACCAGATTTCGGAGCCCCTTTAAGGGTCGTATGATACGTCATTAGGTGCGCAATGGCGCCGAGATGAGTGCACACACATAACAGTTTGGAAAAATTACTGTTTTCGCTATTAAAATTGAGTTTTTGTAAAGATATCGAGAAACCTCTTTGTTAGGAGGCAATTAGCATGCGCCGGAAGTGGGGTAAGCCTATATAAGGGCGCAGAAGGGGTTCTTTTGATTTTTTTGCGATCAAGGTCCTGGGAGAATATGCATATTTTTGACTACCATGTGCTTTAGACGGGGCCAGGGTTGAAAAGCCGCGAAGCGGTTTTTCAACCCTGGTAATTATCCTACTATATATAAAAATAGTGTCTGTGTGTGTGTGTGTGCATTTGCATGCAACTTCCGTGAGGATGTTCCGCACCTACAGCCTCAGGGAAGCATTTTTTCGGTAGTGAAGAAACGTCATTAGGTAAAGAAGGGTCCGGAATCGACTGCACGCACATAAAATCTTTGAAAAATTGCTATTTTCGCTATTAAAAACAAATTTTTGTAAAATTCTCGCCCACCCTCTTTGTTAGGGATCAATTAGCATAAGCCGGAAGTCGGATAGCCTATATAAAGCGACAGAGGAGGCGTTTTTCACTTTTTTCCTGATAGATTTTGGGGAAGAAGCATTCAAATTGAAGACTTTCATCGGTCCTAGACGGGGCCAGGGTTGAAAAGCCGCGGAGCGGTTTTTCAACCCTGGTGTAATTTAAAAATACAAAAACGTCAAAACACTGTAAAAAATTATGATAAAAATTACTTTTAGACCACGACCTGACGCACACGGCCCCGCCGCTCACGAGAAATGCCTACACGACGGGCGCCGTCTGCAACAGGTACGGGAAAAAGATAAAAGTTCATTGCGCTTTTACTTCTGGTAATTGATTTTTCGCCTTGATGGACGACTTAAAACTTATCGAAACATCTTCTTTGCAGAACCTGCGAAAATCTGGAGCCCTGCTTCAACATCCAGCTGCCGAAGGACGACCCGAAGCTCAAGATGGGAAGGTTCGGAATTTGAATTTTATTGACCTAGTGCTGATGTTGTTAAAAATTATTAACGATTGATTTGAGATCGTAAAAACAGAAATATATCGGGGTTAGCGGGCGGAGCCCGCTAACCCCTTTTGGTTTGAGGTACCCCCCCATACGACTCTTTTGGGGTCCTTTTCCGGATTTAAAAAAGAACCAAGCATCGGATCGCAAAACTGAATACACCATCGGAACCGGCGACACTTTTTACATACTATAAGCTTTTAAAAATTGAAAAAGAGTGAAATTTCGAATTTTAACAGCCGATTTAAATTGCGTTTCGAGGGGGGGGGTCTGCGTTTGTATGTATGTATGTACGCAAAACCTTTGTAGTCGTCAAAAAGTGCCTTCCCACCATCCGTTTGGGCTGAAATTTTGCACACTTATTGGGTGAATGATAATCTCGGACCGCAAGAAGAGTTTTTTTCAAAATAGGCTTTTAAAAAATTTATATTTGATTTCTAAGTTTAGAAGCTAAATTGCGGTCAAAACAATGGTTAGTGATGTCCGTTTGGGCTGAAATTTTGCTCAAATATACATTAGACCATGCTGGAATAAGTAAAGAAGAAATTGCAACGAAAGAATGCTTCTTCTCTGAGATATTATAACTTTAAACCTTCGCCATACGGGGCGCCACCCTCCCCTTTGGCGGCCCCAGTCCCGGGTCAGGGCGGGCGGGTCTAGCTTCCCCAAGTCAGGCCTCCAGTCTCCCCGTTGGCCTAGTGGTTAGCACGCTGTACTGGGAAGTCTTGGCTCCCGAGTTCGAACCCCACCCGAAGCAAGGTTTTTGCCGATTGGCCCCCGTGCATCCTTATGGTTTCTAGTGCCGTCACAAAGCGCCGCAGGCAAATTTTTTTGAAGTTGTGCGTACAAGGGTTCATCTGAATGAGTATTCCTTGGCTTATTTTACGATCTTAACAATAAGATTGAGGCAAAAAGGGCTAAATTCTCTCTAAGGCTAAAAAGAGTCTTTTCAAAAAGGGCTTTGGTTTTCGCAAAAAGAGACGAATTCTCGTGGCAACAAAAAGAGCTAAATTCCTTTCAAACTCTTAAAAATGCCACAGAATGCGGGAACAACAAAAAGTTGCTGGCTATTTAAAACCTTAATAAACTCGGTATCATCCCAGATCACAGGTCAGGTCCACAGATTAATTTCAAGAAAGTGCAAATAGATCATAATACAGAAATTATTTGCAAGCCGAAACCGCTAGAAACTGGATCTGTCCATTTTAATAAGGTGCCAGCAACTTTTGGTTGATCCCACATTCTGTGGCATTTTTAAGAGTTTGAAAGGAATTTAGCTCTTTTTGTTGCCACGAGAATTCGTCTCTTTTTGCGAAAACCAAAAGCCCTTCTTTGAAAAGACTCTTTTTAGCCTTAGAGAGATGCATTGTTTAATTACCTACTCAACTTCAATTTTTTCGAAAGATGTTTCAAGTTTTGTTGCTTAGAAAAACGGACAGGCGCCAGTAATCGCGATTTGGTAGTGTCTTCATTTTGTATTAGCATTGTTAATTTCAGCATTTTTACGTGTTCAATCGGCCAAACAGAAAAACGCACAATTTTTAAAAATTTTTTTTGAAGAATCAATTAGGGTAATTTCAGAGAAGTGAAACACCCGTGCATCGAATTCGAGCGCTCGGGAGCCGTTTGCGGATCCGGAGAAACGTCACTAATCTTCGATCGGGTCACCTATCGCGAGCAGCTGAATATTGTAAGATTTCCCATATAATTTTCGAATATATAAATTAAATTAAATCATATTAGTTTTAGAGATAATGGGGAATTCCTAAAATTCTAAAATTCAAAATGACCTTGGGTCAAAATGTTTGAAAATTGATGTTGCAGTATTTTTCAGAATTCCGTGAAAAATCGAAGCTCAATTCTTCCGTTCACTCAGCTCCATTGGGTTTTATTCTTAAATTCAAAAAATAAAATAAATTTTATGGTTGATATTTTTTGAATTAAACACGGCGCATTTGAAGTGAACGGGCGCACAAGAAAAATAAGCATTAATTTATTGAATTATTATATTTCTTTTGTTGATTCAGCCGTTTAGCTTTTTTAATTTAGCTGACCTCTGACTTCGAAAATATTTTTCAAAATTTCCGCAACGCGTTGTAATTGGAAATTGCGGATTTGATAGAATACGCACTAAGGGAAATCGCCTTTTTTGAAGAATGTGTGTTACATTCTTTTTGAATGCTCACTGAAAATCGACGCTTTCAATATGTCAACGATCTTTCTTACTACTTTCGCTGTAATAAATCGCAATTCTGGACTAAAATTAACGTACTATCTATTAAATTACTAAATTGCTATCCATTAAATTTAACTAAATTGTATTCACTGAATTTTATATTTTTTCTTTTAATAAATCCTTTAACTTTTTAATTTAGTTAACCTCTTACCTGGACGGCTCGGTGGTGTACGGTTCGACGGAGGTGCAGGCACTGGAGCTGCGCGATCTTTTTGGGGACCACGGATTGTTAAGGTAAGCTTTTTGAAGCTTTAGATTATTATTGATAAACTACTAACCAAAGTAAATAATTTTTTTATGAATGTCCAAATACGTTTGCTCAAACTCATGAATTTTCATTAAAGGGGCTACGAAATGCCAAAAATTGAGTGACGGCCCGAAAATCGGAGCCCTGTACGTCGGATGCCTCTGAACGCGCAGGGGCCGGGAAGCTCGCAAAATTTGAAATTGCCTGTTGTCACCTCGAAATCGCGTTCTCGACTGTTTCTGGGCCAAATGTGATGATTAAAACACCAAAACTGTTTAAAATTGAGTGAGGATTTCAAAAATGGGCTCAGAATGCGCGAATTATAGTGTTTTCACAAAGAAACCGGGCAAAAACAACTTCGCGCAAAAATCGAAAGAGTGAGGGCTCTTGTCCCGCAGCGCCCGCTGGCAATTTGCCAGAAATCAAAGAGCCCTCCCAAAAGGGCTTTGATTTGGCAGTTCGGAGCCCCTTTAATTTTTGACGCAGGCCGACTTCTAATTCCGAAAAATAGCGGACCTGATATTGCCATTTTCATGCAACATATTTTTTGGCGAATTTATCGAAAGGCATTGTTAACCTATTCAAGGTATTGTCATGGCTTGCTAATCGATTTTTCGATTTGGGTTCTTGATAGCTTTTCCATCCTGAAATCTTTATTGGGAAAGATATGTTTTATCCTTTTTAAAGTTATAATTTTAATGAGTAAAAACTTCCATCTTAAAGATGCAACCTCATATTCGGATATCTCCGTCCTTTCAATAATAGCTTAGAATCTATACAAAAAAACAGAAATCTGTTGCGATGGCAAAATCGCAGAAAATGTCACGTTTTCAAAACTTTATGTTGCGGCCATTTTCAATGCTCCGTAAAACTTGTTGGGTTCAATCGATTGCCGTTTGCAAAAGCTCTGGTTTATTAAATTCTTAAGTCGTACATTAAATGCATTAAAATTCACTACAACATAAAGCCTTTGTCTTTTTAAAAACATTTAAAAATGGGAATTGACCGGAGGCAAGGTCACGGATTTTTAAAAAATTTTATGTTGCACATTTTTCCAATATTCGGGAAAAATTTAGGGAGCAATTGAGCCGAGCTTTAAGATCAAGCAATACCTTAAATGAATAGAAATATACATACCTCACAGATTCGACATCGTCTCGGCCGCCCAAAAGCCGTATATGCCATTTGAGAAGGACTCGGACATGGACTGCCGGAGGAACTATTCCGTCGACAACCCGATCCGATGCTTTTTGGCTGGGGATTTGAGGGCAAACGAGCAGGTATTATTTGATCGTGGTTAAAATACACCAGTTTCATCAGCTTTTAAAGGAAGTTAAAAGCCGAAATTTAGCCTGTGAAAACAGGCCAAATAATCTCAAATAGAAAATTATAAACTTTTTATGGGGCGTTATACGGATAAAAGTTCCCTCAGTGACCCAGTATGGCCCCTTAGCAAAATAGAAATAACTTTTACAGCATTTTACACGGCTATTAGATATATAAGACTTGAATTTTCTAAATTGTGGTAACCATTTTTGTCGTTTTGGTCAGAAAGGCATGCAAAATTACGACAAATTTAAAAAGCTACATAATTTTTAAGTTTTTAATGGATGCCTTATCATTTCCTAGCAACAAAGAACGAATAAAAACCCTAAAAAATACAGCAGAAATTATTAGTGGGTGAAGAATAAAATTACCTTGCCCCAGCCCAATACCAAAAATTCCTTAAAATGTGCTTTTTGAATTCTTCGAGGCGATTTAAAAAATAAAGTTTCAGAAAATTTGGAAATAATGAAAATTTTTAGCGTTGTAATTTTAACGCTTTTCGTGTACGTGTAGGCTGACTTTTAATCGAGCTTCAGAAATTTTCGGAAATAGGAAAAAATGTTTTGTCTATTCTAAAATTAAGATTTGAAAAATTTTGGAATTATGGTTTCGGTAGTGCTTAATAAATCTTTTTCTATTTTTTTTCAAGACGTCCTTTATAAATGTTCAAAACTACCAGATATAAAAATTGTGTCTCTTTTGTTTAGACTTTAATTCTCCCTTAGCTCGGCCTCACCTCGCTGCACACAATCTTCATGCGTGAGCACAACCGCGTCGCTGCCAAGCTGCTGGAGATGAACGTCAACTGGGACGGCGAGACCATTTTCCAGGTGATTATTTTGACAATTAATGCCAATTAAACTTTTCAAAACATGAGACGCTTCATCTAATTAACTTTGTCTTAAGCGGAAATTCTATTCCACAAAAAGCATTTAAAAAATTTAAGTCGCCGAAAATACGCTATTTTTGGTGACATTGTCGATATTTATACTTGAAAATTGGATGCTAAGGGGAAAATTGGTCCCCCATAATGCGAAAGCCCCGACAGGCCATATAAATTAAATACGGCTATTCAAGATATCGTAGTCATCACTCAAACTTCAGCTGAAAAAAAAAATGTGTTTTGCTGAAAAAAATTAAACCCACCAGGCGGGATTTCGCTAATATGATTCGGCGCAGAATATTGCCATGTTTTTTCTCGTTCTAAAATCGCGCAAAGAAATCGTTCAACTAATGTTTTCCAACCCAAAAACGACCTATTTTTGATACACTAATTTTTTCAGGAAACCCGGAAGCTGATCAGCGCCATGATCCAGCACATCACCTACAGCCAGTGGCTGCCCACCGTCCTCGGCAAGGTCGGTGGTTTTTTTGAACGTTCTTGTAGTTCTAATTTTTTTGAAATTCGGATCCTAAAAGCACCTACTGCTTTACCGATTTTGACGAAAAAAAATCGAAAATGCTTACAATTAGTGCTAAACAGTTTGATTAAACCAAATCCATGTTATTTTTCCTGGAAATCGTCTGAAACACAGTTTTTGAGATTTAAAGTGCATTTCAAAATGTAACGCAAAACCTTAACCCGATTAAATTAAAACAATTCGCCTAGAATTAGACTATTTAAAATTATCAATTAAATTTTTGTAATATATATTGAAATAGACAATTAGCGTTTATTTTATACTTGCCCATTTTCGACTTTTTTTATCCAGGGTTGCACTAGCGCAGGCAGCGGCGATGATTGTCTTAAAGCGCATCATTTTCTTGAATAAGTTTCTTGCAACTTTTTCTCTGTTAAGGAATATTCTTGGATTTTCCAAGTCATTTGCGGTTCTTCAGAATGGTGCATATTTTCCAAGATAATCGAACTTGTCCAGACCGGTTTCGCCGAGCTGATTGGAGACTACATGGGCTACGATCCGACCGTCGACCCATCCATCGCAAACGCCTTTGCCACCGCTGCTTTCAGATTTGGCCATACGCTAATTAATCCAGTGCTTAAAAGGTATGTAGAATTTTTTTAAAAACCTGAAAAAATACCAGTTGAGGTACAAAAACTGACTGAATTTTGATGTTTTAAGCCAAAAAGTGCTCGCTCGTAAATGATATTTACCAATTCGTTTTTGATTCCACTCGTGGAAATACTAGCAGAGACTGTTGAGGAAGAGAAGAGGCCAGGCTAGCAGAGATTGTTGAGGAAGAGGAGAGGGCAGTCCAGCAGAGATTGTTGAGGAAGAGGAGAGGGCAGGCTAGCAGAGATTGTTGAGGAAGAGGAGAGGGCAGGCTAGCAGAGATTGTTGAGGAAGAGGAGAGGGCAGGCTAGCAGAGATTGTTGAGGAAGAGGAGAGGGCAGGCTAGCGGAGATTGTTGAGGAAGAGGAGAGGGCAGGCTAGCAGAGATTGTTGAGGAAGAGGAGAGGGCAGGCTAGCAGAGATTGTTGAGGAAGAGGAGAGGGCAGGCTAGCAGAGATTGTTGAGGAAGAGGAGAGGGCAGGCTAGCAGAGATTGTTGAGGAAGAGGAGAGGGCAGGCTAGCAGAGATTGTTGAGGAAGAGGAGAGGGCAGGCTAGCAGAGATTGTTGAGGAAGAGGAGAGGGCAGGCTAGAGAGATTGTTGAGGAAGAGGAGAGGGCAGGCTAGCAGAGATTGTTGAGGAAGAGGGGAGGGGCAGGCTAGCAGAGATTGTTGAGGAAGAGGAGAGGGCAGGCTAGCAGAGATTGTTGAGGAAGAGGAGAGGGCAGGCTAGCGGAGATTGTTGAGGAATTCCGGAAATTTCCAGCTTATGTTTAGACTTGGAAAAGACTTCAATCCAATCCCACAGGGCCACATTCCACTACACGAGGTGGGTTTTTGATTTTTATAGTATTGTTTTTTGCTTCAAGCTAAAAGCTAACAATTTTCAGGCGTTTTTCGCGCCGGAGCGCCTGTTGTCTGAAGGAGGCATTGACCCACTTTTGCGGTAAGTGAGTCGTAATGTAGAGAATCCAATCTCGTGGAAAGCCGGTTAAAATCAGAATTTTGCTTGACTATCGAGAAGCTGTGTCAAGTCATTCATAGATCAGGATCAAAATTGTACAGCCGTGAAGTCAAAGCAAGTTTCTAATTTAATAAAATCAATCCCTCAAAAAAAACTACTAAAGGATGTTTCACTTTCGCACAATAACTTTCCTGCATTTTTTCTCCGACATTTCCGAGTCTTTTCTGTTGTGTGGTCAAAAGCTATTAAATTAGAGTAAATGACTCTTCAGTATATTTTTAAAAATGTAGTTTATAATAACATATTCTGTTTTAATTCTTTTTAGTGGTCTCTTCGCCTCCCCGCTCAAATTGCCAAAGAGCAACCAGGTGATGAACATGGAGCTCACCGAGAAGCTCTTCCCCCGCGCCCATGAGGTATTTTAATTTGCAAACCTAAATTCTAAAAATACCTATAAAACCAGCAAATCATTGTTATCAAAATCTACAATTTCAAGCACATATGAAAACGACTTTAATCAAATTAAAAGACATTTCAAAAAAGTGGAATGGAAACAAAACGGTTTATATGTTTCATAAAAAAATACGACAAAATGGTGTGTGCAAATCCTTATTGCTCGGCGTTTTCTCTTTTTCATTATATTAAAAAAAACCATAAAAAGTTTATTAATTTTTTAATTAAAAAACTTTCTAGGAAATGAATGTTTCCATAATTGGTCTATTAATTTCCCTCGCTTTTGTTGTGATGTACGTAAAATACGCTTCAAAAACAAATAAAAAGCCAGCAAAAGAAGATAAAAGGCATTTCGAAGCCGGGGTTTTCAAGAAAGTGAACATCAATTCCGGGACTCGCAGTGAAGGCCATATCAATTATGAGTTTTATGTTTTAGTTTGCCGATTTTATTATAATTTAAGGTTTGAAAAAGAAAAATTTTTATGAAAAGAAATGACAAATAAAAGCAACAGAATCAAAGTAAATGGCATTTTGACAAAATTGGAAAATACATGTTTCATCAAAACCTGATGCAATCTTGGTTAATCGCAAAACAATATTTCGCCGTGTCCTTCTAGCCGAAAAATTCAGGCATCAGCTTGCTTGGATTTTAAATTCCAGTAACTTAAAAAATATATAATTTGAATCCAGGTCTCCCTCGACCTGGCGGTGATGAACATACAGCGAGCCCGGGATCACGGACTGCCAAGGTGGGTGTTTTTGCAACGCATAAAAACTTTTATATCGAACAAACAAAATCGAAAAAGCCTCAAAATATAGAAAAAATCTATGAATGATCCGGTAATTTTCATCGAAGCTAGCCTCGCTTCAATCCTAAGATTTCTACTATGCATAAAAAAACCTTATGTCACGCTATAGTAGTACGCTTACAAGATTAAAAGTCAACAACCGATTAACTAGAAAAAATCCAACTTTATCAACTTTGTCACTGAAACACCATTTTCCAACAGTCCGGTTTTTATGAAATGCTTTATCTTTTTTCTTTTGAAGAAGAAAGGACAAGAAGAAAAAAATAAAGGAGGTATCTGGCTTAAAAATTTCAAGGCCCAAAGAAAATGTGTTCCAATCTTCTGGTAATACGTGCATAAAAATTTGCCAAATTGATCTGACGTCCATGGTGTTCCGCTCTGCCTACCATTCCATACGTACGCCTGACAGTAAAAATTCAAAAACCTAAAAAATCTGAGAATTTGATAAAAAAGATATTTTTAGGCTAAATTAAATTGCTATATTACACAAACGAATTAAAATATAAGAAAAACGATAGAAGATTGGAATAGACCCTTGACACAAAGCATAAAAAGAATTTAAAAAGTATAAATGCTTCGATTTGCTTAAATTCAATCATAGTATTGATTGAGAACTTTCTATTACCAAATCTCAGCGCCAGCGGAAATGACGAAATTTTGAAACTTGTTTTCGCAAATTCGTTTAATAGCAGATATTTTCCGGTGCCCTAATCCGTAGAATTTGAAACTTATTATTTGCCAGAATTCATAAATTTTTAGCTGGACGGAGTACCGTAAATGGTGCAAACTGTCGGTACCGACCACGTGGGAGGAGATGGCCATCGAAGTACCTGATGCGGATGTCCGGAATAAGCTGCGGACGCTCTATGGCCATCCTGGTAAGCCTTCGGGGTAGTTTCATTGAATCCCGAATGATCTCTGCTAGACTGTTTACCCCGCATTTTTTACTGCGACAGTTTTTGGTGCAGGCTGTAACAGCGACAATTAATGGTTTAAAGCTCGAACTGTTTCTGTTGTTAGCATAAAACATCTTTTTTTTTCATCGGGCCTGGCGCCCGAAATTTGTTAAACGGTCTGATGCTTTCTATGCCTTATTTTTCCGATTATTACTGCCATTACTATTACCATTACTGAAAGTTTGACAAATTTTCATCAAAATCAAAACCAAGAAGCAAAATACTATAAAAATAATCAAAAAAAAATTACCGAGGACGTTCAACGCCTAGAGATTAAAAAGACATCAAATTTTCTCGATTTTCACAAATATTTATTTTGACGAGTCAAAGCGTATATAAAATTTTAATCGATTTTAATCATTTTAACCGCGTTTCTAATGTAAATTAAATTAAACGCAACTTCGAAACTGAATAAATAGAACGCTTCAAAGATACATAAATTACTGATTTTTACCGCCAGTGGTTCCCCGATTTTTCCGAAACATTTTTTTAAGAAAAATTGTATCTGAAACCAAATGACGAATTCAATACTTTTGTTGACGCTTTGTTAGTAGTTTTTAATTCCGAATTAAATTATATCAATAGCGACTTAATTTTGTTTGTTTGCTGACAACAATTGGACAAGTCTCATTGCTGGATCCACAATCGAAGCCGTCCCACCTATTATACGAAACACTCGTTTTCAAAGCGTGTTTCCGTCTTTCACAACCTATTACTTTCTTATAAAAAACGTCACCTCCTTCATTTCAGGAAACATTGATTTGTGGGTGGGCTCCGTGGTGGAGACGAGGATGCCGGATGGACTTGTCGGCCCCACGTTCGCCTGCCTCATCGCCGACCAGTTCAAGCGCCTCCGCTCCGGCGACCGCCATTGGTATGCCAATTTGTCATTTTAAGAATTACAAAAATCACTTTTCCTACTACATTCACTTAAGGCTTTATTATTACGCGGCTGTGAAAATTTAGGGAAATACCAGCGCTGACCCCCCGCTACGCGGGGGTTCAGCGCTGGCCTCCCTTCCCCACACAATTTGAATTTTGAGTTTGAATTTTGAGTTTGAATGCAGAATTAGGCTGAATTCCCGGTCGGGCGGACAGACGGACATTAGAAATTTATATATAGTAGATGATGTTTCAAAAAAGGTCCAAAAGCCGTCTCTTAGCACTTGAACTAATTGTTTTGCCGCACTCCCAGTTTCGCTGAAATTTTCGCCTATTAGAGCCGCAAATAAGAATCGATGTTAGCGATATTTTGTTTCAAAATAAAGCACAACTTTGCGTCACAATATTTTAGTAATCCGTAGCACTTCTGTAGGAAAAAAATCACATTCACTCGAATTTTATAAACTAAAAAAAAACCACAACAAGTAAAAATCTTCATAAATAAAAATAGAAAAACAATAATAAATATAATCGGCTTAGATAGATATAAATTAAGGTACGAGAACGAGGGCGTCTTCAGCAAGGCCCAACTCCAGCAAATCAGGAGAACCTCGCTCGCCCGGATGTTCTGCGACAACGGCGATGATATCGATCGGGTTCAGGTGGTGCAGCAAGATTGCCGGTTTTTAGATTCAATTTTCATTACACGGAGATGAAACCTTTTTAAATTTCCAAAACTATATTTTAACTTTTGCTTATTTTTATTTTAACTGAAAACTTATTTTTCATCTATTGCCTATATATTCTATTATATAGATTCGTATATTATATTCATTTATTTGGAACGTCTTAAATTTTTTAATTAAGTGAACATTGTTAAATTTTCCTTGTATTAATTTTTTTCCCAAAAACTACACCACCATAATGTACTTGAGTAATTTAATTATGAAGCTTACGGCAAATTTTTCAACATTTTCGTTTTTGCAGCGTGACGTCTTCTTCTACCCGGGCAACTCGACGCTGCTGTACGAGAAGTGCTCAATGATCCCGGAGGTTCGAAACAAAGAGCAATTTAAGCAAAACCAGGGTTGAAAAGCCGCTTCGCGACTTTTCAGCCCTGGCCCCGTCTGATCCCGTGATATTTTTCACTTTGCATAATTCTCACGATTTTCGATGACAAAAAATGAGAAACGCTACCTCTCTTGTCTTATATAGGCTACCGCAACTTCCGGCGTATGCTAATTATTTCCTAACAATGAGGGTGGCCCATTTTTCAACAAAAAACTTAATTTTAACGTCGAAAACAGCTCATTTTTGAAAATTTTATTGGTGTGCAGTCATCCCCAGGCGATTACGCATCTAATGACGTATCAAACATGCCCTTAACTACTCCCCTTATTGAGATACTACTGGAACACGCTGACGGAAGTTGCATGCAAATGCACACGCACACACACAGACACTATTTTTTTATATATAGTGGGATATGCTTCAAAAAGATTACTGTCTCTGCGATTTTTGGGCTTTAGAATAGCTTTAAATTCTTTCGCATCAAACCAAATTTAAAATGATTGTCGCACAACAAGCGGAAAAATGTGTTTCACAAAATTTGCTCAATGTTTTTAGAAAAATTTCGCGAATTGACCGGATCGGGAAGCTGTATGATTTTGTAAAAATTCTACAATTTTCAGCTAAACCTGAACATGTGGCAGGCGTGCTGTGAGGGAACTTGTTCGATGAACCAGGATTCCCAATTCACTGGAAAGTAAGTTAATAGGGGCAGGCTAGCAGAGATTGTTGAGGAAGAGGGGAGGGCAAGCTAGCAGAGATTGTTGAGTAAGAGGAGAGGGCAGGCTAGCAGAGATTGTTGAGGAAGAGGAGAGGGCAGGCTAGCAGAGATTGTTGAGGAAGAGGAGAGGGCAGGCTAGCAGAGATTGTTGAGGAAGAGGAGAGGGCAGGCTAGCAGAGATTGTTGAGTAAGAGGAGAGGGCAGGCTAGCAGAGATTGTTGAGGAAGAGGAGAGGGCAGGCTAGCAGAGATTGTTGAGGAAGAGGAGAGGGCAGGCTAGCAGAGATTGTTGAGGAAGAGGAGAGGGCAGGCTAGCAGAGATTGTTGAGGAAGAGGAGAGGGCCGGCTAGCAAAGTGCATTTAAAAAATTAAGATTGTTTTAAACAAATCGTTTTTCTGTTCTTGGTTTGTATTTTTTTTCCATCGTCATATCCGCAAGAATTGGTGGCTCGCCGCTCAATAAGTACTCAAAATAAGTTGCAACATAATCTTTTTTCAGAGGTATAAAATCTATTTTTCCGCTGATTATAATTTTTTTAAACATCGTTACGCGCAAAACAATTCCGATATTATTAATTTCCGATTTCAGCTCGCGCAAACGCCGCTCAAAACGCACCTGCCAACTGGATGACGGCAAGGTGAAGCAGGAGGGTGAATCGTGGAAGATGGAAGAGTGCACTACTTGCCAGTGCCAGGTATCATATGCAGCTTAATAAATTCTATTGAAATAGTATTAAATATATCAAGAAAAATTGTTTTTTGCGTTTTGAAAAATAAGGTTTCAAAAATGTTTGACCACCGGAATTATCTGGCCAAAATAATTCTTCGCCAAAACCAAGCGCTCCACTAAAAATTGGCAATTTAAATAATTAGATAAAAAAATCGAAGGGAACTCGCATCATTTTGCGTTGTTTTTTGGATACGGACAATTCTCAATGGGGAATCTGCCATTGAAAAATTTGACAACAAGCCGAAAAAGATGGTTCCAAAATGCAGTAGGCTGCGAGATTATCAAGTATTATTAAATAGCCCATTAAAAAAATTTTGCTGATATTTCAATTATCTAATTATTGAAGACCGGCAATAAATTAAATTTTTACGTTTTTTCAGAACGGCCTTGTGTGGTGCCACGTGAAGGAGGGATGCCAGGAGGTCCAGAAGAAGAAATAATTTATTCGAATTTTTGCATTATTACTGTTCCTTTCTTGTCTTTTTCACCGATTCTCAGCTGCCCACGCCGAAATTGCCATGATTTGCATTGTTATTTGGTGCCATTATTCCCGCCGAAACGTCGGGGGTCTATGTATGTTTCTAATGTTTCATTTTTGTCATTATTCTGACCCTCATTTTGATCTTTTAATGGGACCTTCACAGTCGAATAAACTTCGAAAATGCGATTTTAGCGATGCATCAAGAAAAGGCATAGATTCGACCGCACGCTACACGCAACAAATTCCCCCAAAAAACCCGGAAATTCCGCACCTTGCCGCATAGCGAAATATGGCCCGATATTATAGCATTTTACGCAGCTCTTAGAGATAAAAAGAATGCAACAACAAAAATATAAAGTTTGTCGAAAAAGTGGGTCTTTAAAGTCTTACAAGTATGAAAATCCAAAAATTGGCTGAAGTTTTGCGCTTTTCTTAAATTTTTAACTTATTTTTAGAATTTGCTAGTATCAAAAGTTACTAAAATGGTTTAAAATACGTTATATATTATTAACAGGTTAAGTCCGCGGAAAAGCTAAAATTTGGCCGCTAACCCTCGCCCGCCAAAAAATATGGGTTTCGGAAAATCACTATTATAATGTGCATCTCTCTAATTCAGTCTCCTCCACTCATGAGCGGTTTATAATAGCATTTTGCAATTTTTGTGTTCATGAGTTTCAGCATTTTTAGAAATAAAAAGAATCTAACATCAAAGCTATAAAAACTATCGATTTTTCTTGTAATCATGAGTTTCATCACGCCAAAGATTAGGGGCCAAACGATTAGACGTACTGTAGGATCGCGCTTACCTTTTAAAAATTTTATAATTTTGATAAATTGTATAAATAATCTAGGATTTATTTTTGTCATGATTATTAACAGTATAATATTTATACTTTGCAAATATTTAAAGTTTCATAATTTTTATTCAATCATCAGGGAAAATGTGTTTCATCGAAATGCCCAATTGAGCGCGAAAATGATTCAATTGATGATTTGATTCCACAGTTTGATTTGATTAGAATCAATCAATATATTATTTTAAATAAATATGAAATATATCATTTGAATTAAATTTAAAATTAACACTAATTAAACTTTCCGGGAAGGTTTGACTTTTAAATATGTTTGTCACTAAAAATCAAATTCCCGGGCGTAATTCGGGTATTCCGTCGTACTCGTTCTTTTTTTGGTACTCGCCCCTGCCCTCCTCGATCTTGACGTCTACCCCCCCTCTCTCTATTATTTAATGGCGGATCGGTCGAACCGTGGTGGCGAGGGTTCGGACAAGATTGTCAAGACGGAACTATTCTGGAAGCTCCTCCACAAACAGATCGCCCCCAAGAACAGCGTCGACCGCAAGAGGGTACGATTTTCAGGGATTAAGAACATTAAATTAACCAGCTTTTGACGGTATGAAATTGATTGATTGAAGATTAAATATTGCATTTTTCAGATAGTCGAAACCAAACCAACTTTTTTATTTGATTTCGAATACCATCGGCCAATTATGGCGCACGATTTGCTTTTATTTTATTGTTAGAATGGAACACATTTCTTTCGCTGAATATTGTTATTTTTTATGGGAAACTTGGTTTATAAAACATTTCTTCTGCAAAAAATACACTTTCGAAAGTCAAAATTAAGGCCCAAAACTCACTTTAATTTGATAGCTGAATCCAAACACATTTTTCGTACAATTTTGGAATTCTTACTAAAATAAAATCTGAAAATTTGAGACTTTTGAGTCAAATATGGTTAAAAACACCAAAAGTTTGCACGGTAAAACGAAGATTAGCCACCCCGCCAACAGTCCAGTACCCAAAAAATCCACAGACAACAAAAGACCTCGGTTTGCCGCTTCAGATCAACTACACGCTGGCCGAGATCGACTCGGTGCTGCAGGCCGTCGTCGAGGTGTTGGGCAAGGATGAGACGCTGCTGACAATGAGTCCACCCATTGTCATTGTTGGAGATATACATGGACAGGTATCACCTTATTCCTCAACAATCTCTGCTAGCCTGCCCTCTGCTCTTCCTCAACAATCTCTGCTAGCCTGCCCTCTCCTATTCCTCAACAATCTCTGCTAGCCTGCCCTCTGCTCTTCCTCAACAATCTCTGCTAGCCTGCCCTCTCCTATTCCTCAACAATCTCTGCAGCCTGCCCACCCCTATTCCTCAACAATCTCTGCTAGCCTGCCCTCTCCTATTCCTCAACAATCTCTGCTAGCCTGCCCTCTCCTATTCCTCAACAATCTCTGCTAGCCTGCCCTCTCCTATTCCTCAACAATCTCTGCTAGCCTGCCCTCTCCTATTCCTCAACAATCTCTGCTAATTTTGGAATTTTTGATTTTCTGCGCCATTCCAGTACTACGACCTGATCCGGATGTTCAACACATTCGGCGAGACAAACAAGGACGGGTCGGCGTCGGTGAGCGGAGTGACGAATGGGAGGTGGGCCAGTCGCAGCGGGGTTACGGTAGTTGGGCCCCGTTTTAGGTATCTGTTCCTGGGCGACTACGTGGATCGGGGCACCAACTCGCTGGAGTGCATCATGATGGTGTTCACGCTGAAGATACTCTTCCCCAGACATGTTCGTCAAGTTTGAGGGGAGCGAAGCCCAAGCCTATGCCTAAGCCTAAGCCTAAGCCTAAGTCTAAGCCTAAGCCTAAGCCCAAGCCTAAGCCGAAGCCTAAGCCTAAGCCGAAGCCTAAGCCTAAGCCGAAGCCTAAGCCTAAGCCTAGACCTAAGCCTAAGCCTAAGCCTAATCCTAAGCCTAAGCCTAAGCCTAACCTAGGCCTAAGATTTCGTGTTTCAGTACGGTCTGCTTCGGGGCAACCACGAGTGCCGCGCCATCAACAAGGTGTACGGGTTCTACGACGAACTGGTCGATCGATATGGGGTACGGTAGAGGGCCTAGGTCAAATTAGGGTATTTTAGCAAGACGACGCGGACGCGCTGTGGCACTCGTTCAACAACGCATTCGCCATGCTGCCCCTGGCGGCCATGATCGGCAAGAAGATATTGTGCATGCATGGAGGCATTAGTGGGTCTTCAAGAAGGGCAGGCTAGCAGGGATTGTTGAGGAAGAGGAGAGGGCAAGCTAGCAGAGATTGTTGAGGAAGAGGAGAGGGCAGGCTAGCAGAGATTGTTGAGGAAGAGGAGAGGGCAGGCTAGCAGAGATTGTTGAGGAAGAAGAGGGCAGGCTAGCAGAGATTGTTGAGGAAGAGGAGAGGGCAGGCTAGCAGAGATTGTTGAGGAAGAGGAGAGGGCAGGCTAGAAGAGATTGTTGAGGAAGAGGAGAGGGCATGCTAGCAGAGATCATTTGCAGGTCCCGAGCTGCACTCCCTGGAAGATATCCGAGCGATCAAGCGGCCCCTCGAAGACCCAGCCAGCTACCCGACCACCCTGGCCGTTGATCTGCTGTGGGCGGACCCGATGATCGGCCTGTCTGGGTATATATTCACCCTTTAAATGCTTTTTTAAATTTTTTTTTGGTATCATATGTGTATATTTGGTTCAAACAGACTTTAAAAATTATCTACATTTATGAAAAATCAATTAAAAGGATTCCGTTCTATGCTCAAGTATAGCAGATTTATTACTTTCCGCAGCGCTTCGCGATCCATACTAATTGGGCCGGGCACCATATCTACAAACCATATATTTTTCGGACAGCTTTGATATTTGTGAGGACAAAGCCGTTTTATGACGAAATTTGTTAGTCTTCTGTAACAATTTAACCTGGTGTCTCGAAATAGCATGGTTATCTGGAACATTACATTTGCAGAAAAAATCAAAAATTCGTAATTTTTGCGTTTTTCTGTGTCTAAATTCGCAAACGGTTCATTTTAATTGGGTTTAATTTAATTTAGTGGACTCTCTGCACTTTTTCCATGCTTATCGAAAACCCGCATTAATGCTCAGCTGGGTGCCGAACCACGTGCGCGGCGTGTCGTGCTACTTTGGCGAGGACCGCGTCGAGGCGATATGCAAGCAGCTCGGCCTCGAGCTCATCGTCAGAGCCCACCAGGTAATTTGCAAAAACTAAAAAACTAATAGAAAACTAAAATGCAATGTCCAGCAAAATATTTGGGAAAAAAATGTTTCACAAAAAATACGAGTTTGCGAAACTTCGTAAAATTATTTCATTCTTCGCTTGTTTGGAACCTATTTATTCGAATTTAGCTGCCCTACTTTTAAAGTCAAGTCAAGGAAAATAGAAATAGAAGAAAGAAGTGGCGATTGGAAAAAATTCGATTTTCTGAAAATTGTGTTTCATTAAAAACTCTTGTTTTTCGGTTATTTTAAACAACAATGTGTTGTTCGCAGTGGTTCATTTTAGACATTAGCCAAATTGGTTTTTGTATAATCTATTTCTAAGTCCCTGTTATTGATTCCCGCTACAGATGATGCAAAACGGGTACCACTTCTTCTGCAACCGCAAGCTGATCACCATCTTCACGGCGCCGCGCTATTTTGTGGAAAAGGTGGGTGGGCGGGGCCTCACACTGGCGCTCTCCCTTAAAATGAAAATCTGGTTTTATTGCGGATCTTCGTGTTCAATAAATAGAGAATTTCCTGGAATAGAAGTATTAGGAAACTGTAAAACATATACATTTACAATTTTGCAAAAAACTTTTCGATTTAAAATGTTTCGTCTTGAATATGAAAGCCAAAAAGCAAGGATTTGCATTAAATGCATTTAATAACTTAACTTTATAACTTTAATAACTTCCCCCCCCCGGCCAAAAATTCAATGTTGCGTCTCGAATATAAATTCCGAATAAGCCCAATTTCGTAATGCGGTTTGCAAAGGTGCACGATTTCAGCCTTTAAATTTTTTAATGTTTGTAGAACAACAAAGGCGCGACGCTGAAGGTGGACAAGTCGGGGAAGCTCTCCATCAAGATTCTCCTCCCCACCACCGAGGACAAGCGGGGTAAGCAGCAATTTATTTATCCTTTTTTAATCTGATTTTTACTTCACTAGTAAATCGGCAAAGCGCCCTAATCTCGGGGATTTTCTGAAACATTGACGATCTCAGTATCCTACTATATATAAAAAAATAGTTCCTGTGTGTGTGTGTGTGTGTATGTATGTGTGTGCATTTGCATGCAACTTCCGTCAGCGTGTTCCAGCAGTATCTCAATAAGGGGAGTAGTTAGGGGTATGTTTTATACCTTATTCGGTGCGTAATAGCCCTGGGATGACTGCACACTAATAAAATTTTCGAAAATTCGGTGTTTTCGACGTTAAAATTAAGATTTTGTGGAAAAATCGAGAACTCTCTTTGTTAGGAAACAATTTGCATACGCCGGCTGTTGCGGTTGCCTATATAAGGAAAGAAAGGCAGCGTTTCTCATTTTTTGTCATCGAAAATCGTGAGAATTATGCAAAATGAAGAAAATCATGCGATCAGACGGCGCCAGGGTTGAAAAGTCGCGAAGCGACTTTTCAACCCTGGTTCTGCGATAATTTGTTTTTCGAGCATTTAGATACATTTGGTACAATAAGTCGGCTGAAACACTTAATTTTATTACTTTCACTTATTAGGTGAGAACGTGTTCCGCCGCGAGCTCGACCAAACGTACAGCGACGATTCCGGATATCAAGTGTTCGTTCCCCCGCTTCCGCCCGCCAACCCTCGGCCCTCGAAAGCCGCCTCAAAGGTATCGAATCAATAAGTGATACCTTAAATGACCCATATATGGCTAGCCAGACTACTTTTCAAGGGATGGCCAAGGCAAAAATTAATGTTTCTTTAAAAAGTTGTACTTATTGATTTCCGGCAGATTGAATAGTTCGATACCATAGCCAAAAAATTCGACATAAACTAAACGTTTCAAAAAAAAAACACAAGAAGGCCTTCCTTTATTGGCAGCGTTACACTTTTCAGATTTAAAATTTTAATTGAAAAAAATCCGGCATTAAGAGCCTTTCAAAGAATGGCTTCTGAATGAAACACGCGTTCTTCCCGGAGCAAGAATTATTTCTGAAATTAAAATCTAGAGCACTAAAGAGCGCTAAATTTAGAAGACTAAAAAATCTAAAAACAGTGAAAAAGTTGAAATTAGCGATTTTCGTCAAAAAGTTTCAATTTTTTTGTGTTTGTTGTTGTTTTTTTGCGCACGGTCCCTACGTCCATAGGGTGTACACGTTGGGACGAGTACACGGCCCCTCCCCTGAACGTGCGCTTTAAGAGTAATAAAAAAATAGCTAGAAATACTTATTTTAAAAAAGCCGATGAATACTGTCGCAGTCCCTTTAAAGGAGCTTTAAAGGTATACGCGCGACTGCGGCGCTTCGGCAGCAACTTGCCCTCCCGGCGACGTCCACCCTCCAATAGCCTCCCTTAATTTTATTGCTTATTTATTATTTTATGCAATTTTAAGGCCCCTTTTTGAGTGTTAAAAAGACTGAGAATTCAAGCGGAGTTTCCTCTGTGATGTTGCGATCTCTTAAGTGGTCTCTTAAGGTTAATAAAGTTTTGCGGTTTTCCTGGCCCTTGAAAATTGCACACAAAAATATAGGTAAAATGGATTAAGGATAAACACAATACCTATAACATAAAAATACAACAAAAATAATTGTAGAAAAATTATACAACCTCTGAAAAAGTCATTAATAACCGAAATTTTTTGCGATTTGAAATTGTTTAAAACACATTTTTTATGCCAGATAGTTAGATCGGGCTTCAATTATTCAAAGTGTATTTATTTATTTATTACGTTCAAAGTGGGGCATCTTTTCCTATAATTCCAGAAAGGCCTGGTAACATAACAGTAGCTATTTTAATAGTATTTTTGGTACATTTCACTATACATCGTGCAAAATCTATCTATGCTTTTGAAAATTTTAAAAATTCTAATTTTGGGTTAAAAATCTATATTTTGTATTTTTTTGCATAAAATTAGTAACGGATTTTACGTGTGGAAATAGTAAAAACAGTTTCGAAACACCTTCTCGATTTACACTAGAAAAAAATGTTTTATTAGAACTTTTTAGACTAAAGATCCGAATTAAAGACAGCTTTCAACCTTAACTTCTGTATTTTTAATAGACCTCTTTGGATCTTGATTTTAATTTATTTCCATTTTTTAAGCGAGTCTACATTCCAATTTCAGCGCCAAAGCCAGGGACACCACGGCTGATCGAGGGCGGACCCGAGGCGATGCTGCTCTCTACACCTTAAAAAAAACTTCGGCGACGCGATGCGGCGTGTCGTGCGCCTAATACAACCATCGACAAAAATCGGATCTTAAAATTCCCTAGGCACTGACTTTTGTATTTAATTTGGTGGTGAAGTGACGACGGTGTGATGAATAAATTGTTTTATCTATGTTGCTGTAATTGCCGGCTCCTCAGAATATGCTTAATAAAATTCTGTTTTTTTTTACCTGAAATAAAACGTGTTTCTGTTAATACTGGTGGATTTTTTATCCCTAGACTTTCATTATGAGTAGAAAATGAAACATGATTTCTTCACAGCCATGATTTCTTCATTTTTAATTTTGTAAATTTTGGTATTTTTTAATTGTTTTTTAATGAAAAACCACACTTGGATCAGTAAAACTTGACCACTCTTCGAAAATTCTCTCTATTTTCTTTACAATTTGGAAAAAGCTGTTTTAACTTTTAAAAACTAGGTTTCGGATAATTGCCGCCCCCACACTTCCCCCAGCATTTCCGGCTTCCATAACCCTTCAAAATTTTCAAAAATTCGATGACAACCCGCCCAACTCCCAATTTCCAAGGATTTTCGTGTGCCCAACCGGAAGCGCCTTGAGTGCCAGTAATCCGTCGTCAGATACCGGCCCCGGATTTTTATATTGACAGGATTATCATGAACGGGGAGGTGGGAGTACGGTAGCGAGGCACCTAATGAGAATCTCTTGATGTCGACTAGGCCTTTCCGTTGGATAATTTGTGATTTTTCTCGAAATGTCCGGGGAAATTTTTCGAACTTATCTTATTTGAGCAAAATAGGTTCTGGCCGTTATCTGGCTTTCAATGCCAGGGACGCTGATTCGTATTTGCTTAACTAAAATTGTTCTGAAAACATGGTTTAAATGAAATTTGATGGTTGCGGCAGGTTTCTCTGGGTCAATGGGCCGTATTTATCGTATTGATAGTGGGGAGGTGTACGGTAATAGGGGCACCATTTAGGAACCTAGTGATATCAACTAGCTCTTACATTAAATTTTTGCTCGTTTTTATTTTGGAAAAAATGTTGAAAGTTATGGGTTGGCGCCGATTGCTAAAGTTCAATGCGAATTTCACGTCGAATCATTTTTTGTATAGCTAACTGTAAGGCGTTTTTATATGAGCTGGAAATTCCATTCGGGACCATGCCTATCTTGTGCGGAATTTTTCGCTGCTTCCGAAGCTGTGTTCCAAATTTGCGGAAGAGCTCAAATAAGAAAAGAAAGAGAAAAGAGGTAAGAAAGCGTGGGTACGGTAGTCGGGGGCGCCAGATAGGCGTCTCGTTCGAGAGGGGTAAACGCGTTTCGCCGAGAGGGGTAAACGCGTCAATTGGAGCCGGGCGTAGCGCGCGTCAAAAGGTTTAAGCTCTTATAACCTTTCCAAACCGAGAATATTGAAAACCCAATATTAATTATTGCAGAGTAGAATTTTACGGCTCGAATGATACCAAAGACAGCAAGTTAGCCTTGAGCATACTTTCTAAGTTCAGTTTTGTTAGTGCTTAGTGTCATTAGAATCGCCGTGTTCATTTTACCAGACTGGAAGTCGCTTTTTTGAAATCGGCCATATCTTTCAAGATATAAGCCTCCAAAGTTTTGGCCCCATACATTTTTGAGTCGATAGGAGCGCCGCGTCGCCTAGCCCTTAGACCGCCAAGATTTCGGGGCATGAACACTTGCCTGGAAACTTATCGAAGTTTCTCAAAAAATTTGCGAAAAATAATGTTTCATGAAATTGTGTCGAGCTGGCCGAGACAAGTCTTCCAGTAAGGATTCGTTTCGTTTGGCGTGCATGTTTTGATAAAATTTTCGGAAACAAGGTATTAAAGACATACCTGGTTTGAGGCCGATTTCTCGGGCTTAAGGGACTGCGGTGATAGTAATTTAACTTCTAGTAATCCACGAGAGAGGCGCGGTACGGTAGCCGGAGCACCAGATTGAAAACTCGTGCTCCCGGCGAGATTATTTCGGTGCTGTCCTTCTAAGAACCTCCAAGCAAAAAAAGTTGCGAAAAAGTCGTGGGGAGTTCGTGAATTTCAGTAGTTCAATAAATTGGTAGTGTACTAAAGAAACATCTTTTTCGAATAGTGCTTCAAAATTCAATAAAGTTTCTAGATTTTTGATTAGCTATAATCAGCGAGATTATGCAGGATTTACAGCTTTTATGTATTTCTTTTTCAGCCTTTCAGATGATATTATCCGGGTTATACAATCGAGAAAATGTTATTTCTTCCTTCCTCGTCCAGGGCTACCGGATGGGAAATATGGCCGGGGGGTATTAGGGATTCCTTTTTACTGCCCCCCCCCCCCCCCATCCCGACCGGATGTGCGTGAGGCGACCGAATTTCGCGGCGGGACCCGTCTTTTCGATGGCCCATCCTTTTCCGATACCTCCGCCCACCTTTTCTGGCAATAACCTTCTTTTATTAAATTTGATATTTTATATTATATTTTTCAACAACAAGATTTTACGCTGACTTACTAAAGCTTCAATGGGCGGCTTTGACCGGCCGTTATCCAGCAAAACCCTGAAACATTGGTTGCACCTTTCCTTCAAAAAATCACCTTTAAAAATTCCATGCAGTTTTACGTTTTTCTTTTGCAACTTACTAAAAAAATGGGATGCATCATCAATATAAAGGAAAAATTCGTCGGGCATGGGGTTTTTATAAAATTGTGTTTCACAAAACTTAATTGGTTGGGGCGCTGGAGCGAAGCAATAATGGAAGTAGCTTCTCGTGCATAAAAGCGATTCTAGGTGCTAATTGTGGAATTATTCGCTATGCTATGAAAAAGGAGTTCTGGTTCAGCATTGCCATCCATATACCTTAAAACATCTATTTTCCGCTTTTGAAAATTGAACTCTTTAGAAATTTGCGTTTCAAAAAATTATATGCATTTGCCTGCCTGGCGTTTCTACGGTACTTTCCACCGTGTATGATCCGTCCGCCATCTTGCCTTGTGAGTCTAAACGCCATGCAATCCAGGTGCCCACAAAAGTATCAACTTTTTCACTCGGCTTTTCATGTCCCCCGGATAGGTAATACATCAGTTTTGGCGCTTTTCGAAAATAATTATTTTATCGGAGAAATGTTTTTCAGGGAGTTTGTGAATGGGGCGTCTCACTCTCGATGAGGAATTATCAGTATCGCGTTACGAAGAAGATACCCTAATGTTTGAAACATGAATTTTCGTCAAAGATGTTCGATTTTTACTACTCTTTGAAAATGAGAGAGAAAGCGCGCGAGAAAGAGAGAGAGAAAGAGAGAGAGAGAGAGAGAGAGAGAGAGAGAGAGAGCGAGAGAACAAGCGCGCCGACACGCCGTGGAAAGCGTGCCGGGACGTGACATTGGGGTAATATTTTCCTTGCAGTTCAGAATCCGATTTTATGTGTTTCTTTAAAGAGACCAGGACGCTAGCGCTATGAAATCACTGTTTTAGGGATATAGGGATTATGGTGTAGGATTTTGCCTGAATGACGACAAACAACTCTCAACACCACGCTTCCCCAACATAAGCGAGGCGTGTGCATTGCGTGTCGCGGTCCCAGCAAAATCCATAAGTAATCCATAACCAGAACTTCGCTTACCCGTCCCTTTAATCCAAATCCCCCTCACCCGCCAAAATCAGGAACTTCCCATAACTCAGCATCCGGCCGGGGGGTTTCGGGATTCCCCCATCACACATTTTTCCCGGAAAAACCCCTCACACCCAAATTTTGTGCGTGCCCCGCGCCTTAGACGGGGGCAGAAGAAGAGACACGCGAATCCATCGAGTTTTCGGGGGATGTTCATCTAAATTGCACGGCACGCGACCGGCCCAAGGAGTCTAACGGAATATTTATTTTCACCCACCCCCTGGCCATGCCCTCTCCACTTCCGATTCTCAATTCCGAACCTGAACTGCAGGTTTTTTAGTGAATTTAGGTTTTTTTGATTTTTGGCTTGGTTGAAATTTTTGATTTTGCGGAAATTGGTCATTTATTGCTTCGAAAATAGCAGCTTTTAATGCATTTCCTGTTTATATTTTCCATTTCCTGTTTTCATTTTTATTTTCTGCATTTCCGTTTCAGGATCGACGTCTACTATTTACAAATTTACTTTTGCTATTTTTAAAGTGGTTTGAAACATTTGTATTTTCCAAATTTATCATTTAATTTTTTCGCTTTCGGATTTCCTCGACAATCTCTGCTAGCCTGCCCTCTCCTCTTCCTCAACAATCTCTGCTAGCCTGCCCTCTCCTCTTCCTCAACAATCTCTGCTAGCCTGCCCTCTCATCCTCCTCACCAATCCCTGCTAGCCTTCTCTCTCTCTCTCTCGCTCTCTCTTTCTCTCTCTCTCTCTCTCTCTCTCTCTCTCTCTCTCTCTCTCTCTCGCTCTCGCTCTCTCGCATATTTCTATTCCTTTTAGACCCAACCACTCAGAATGCGATAAAATGCGCGGCTCGCGGGTATTTTTGGAGGAGAGGCGGCGGGTTCGACGGCAGCTTGTCCCCTGGTAAATGGGCTTTTTTAAAACGCGGAAAAGGGATGCCGAAAATGTCTTTATTTAAAAAATGACACAAGGGCTTTATTATTTATATTACAACTTTGGAAGCTCAAAATTTAAAAAAGCTTTTATTACCCCCTCATTTTAGCCAGGTCCCATTAGCCCACTTGCCAATTTTTTTGTGAACGAATTTTTTCGAAACATTTCCTTTGCAGGCTTTTCTTCATCGGTTGCACCGGGGCATTTGCTTATTTGCAGTGGAGCAATCTGGAGTGGAATGGAATTACGGTCAAGGTACAAAACAAATAAAATAATAATTTATATTTTTAGCAAATTCGAGTAAAAAGGTATACCCCAATATCTATCGCCAATCGCTTAAATGACACTGAAAAGGAAAAGGTAGGAATTTTCATCGTTTTTATGATCATTGAAATTTTAATCGAAAGGGCGGAACAATTATATTGCATTAAAATTTATAAAAATTAACCTATTGTGTCAAAAAATCCATCAAAAGTGGCCTGTTTTGAAGCTCGATATTAGATAAATTCTGCAATCCGATGAGATCACTTTTTTCGCAACACACCTTTTCTTTAGTAGACGACCCCCGTTTTAGTAGGAAATTCTTGAACAACGAGATTTTTGCCGAATTATAATATTGTTTTCCGATGGCATTGTAATGTTTTTCTTGGAATAGGATTGACTCGGAATAGAATTAATTGTTCAAGTCACCCCAGTGGATTAAGCGATTAGCTTTTTTAATAAATTGCTAACTTTTTGAAACACATAGCTGGAAAACTCAAGATTTCATAAAAATTCGCCGCGACATAACAAAAAAACATTCTTAAGCTCAACAAATAAAAATCACGATTTCCAAGCATTTTTAAAAATTTAATTATACATTTTAATCAAGCGTAAATTTAAGTCATATGGGAATTATTAGCGATGCGTATATCTGAAAATCGAGCCTTTTTTAAAAATTATATGTTTCAACAAACTCTGATTACAACCACAATTAAAAAGAAAGATTAGTTCTTTGACCCCAGAAATCATTCCAATTTTTGCAAACTGTGAGTTTCAAGTAACGTTGTTCCAATAATAAATTACCAAGCGACGAGTTATACAACAACGGTTAGGACAACAAACAAAAGCAAAAAAAACAATGGCAAAAACGGCTTTATAAAATTATAAAATGCCAGGATTGCCATTGCTTAAATAGAGAACTAGATTCGATTAAATTCATGCTCGAGTAAGAAAAATAATAAATTGAAGAATATCCGACGCGTCCGGCTGGCCGCCATGGATTTGCTGATGGAGGAGATGGATGGGGATTGCGCACATAAAAAACCAACGACAAGTAAGTCACTATCACTATTTTCTTATTTTAAACCAGGGTTGAAAAGCCGCTTCGCGACTTTTCAACCCTGGCCCCGTCTGATCCCATGAAATTCTTCGCTTTACATAATTTTCACGAATTCAGATGACAAAAAAATGAAAACCAAGTCCTCTCTCCCATTATATGGGCGATTACCACTTCCCGTGTATGTTAATTGATTCCTAACAAAGAGGGTCCCTGAAAATTTTAGAAAAACTTAAATTGAACGTTGTAAATAGCTGATTTTGTAAAATCTTTTATATGTGCAGTCATCTCCAGGCCATTACGCATATTATGACGTATCAAACATACCTTAAAAACCTCCCCTTTCCGAGATATCCTCCGGACAGAATGACGGAAGTTGCATGCAAAGTGGCACAGACACACACACAGACACTATTTTTTTATATATAGTAGGATTTTTACGAAACATGGTTTTTATCTATACAATTAAAATATTTTCTGTATTAACACAAACTGATCATAAGTGAGGACTACACACTAATGGAACATTTTTGGCTAGCAGAGATTTTTTTGAGGAAAATTAATAACTTACGCGAGACGCGACGGGAAAAATTAAGGTAATATCGATTGCTATAAAAGTGACTTAAAGCGGCTCTGGCAGCACACCGATTACGGCATTTTGGGGACCGGGCAGAGACGCAGAGTTCTGTCTGCGTCTCTCCTCTGGGCGCGCTCTTTCTCTCCCTGCCGCGACGCACCCGACCGCGACGCTTCCACGAATCGTGGAAAAAGGGGCCTGCTGCCAGAGCCCCTTTAAAGGCGCACTTTCAGCAGCCCCGTTTTTCCATGAATCGTGGAAAAATTTGCATGCGAAACTGTCTGCGTCTCTCGCCAGGGGGTGCTCTTTGACCGGAAATGCATGCAATTTTTTCCATGAATCATGGAAAAACGACGCTGCTGAAAGTGCCCTTTAAGAGGGGGCAGAGGGGGCAGACTAGCAGAGATTATTTGCGGAAAATCTCGTTTTTTAGACGGCTCCTCCGACCAGTTCCCGCCCGACCTCTTCACCCTTGATCAGCGCCGTCATGGCGCTATTGTTTTGCATTTTGGAGGTGGGTTTCCAGTAGCATATTTCGATTCATATTTAACAAGCATAGTCGTTTTAAAAAGCAAAGTCTGGGCTACATTACCGTCTCTCGAATTTTCGAGACATACTTAAAATTTGCAAAATAGATTTTCCAGGGCAAAATTTCTGCCGGAAATAGTCATTAATAATTTGTGTGTATTGCACAAACGTATTTTTTTCGATGATAAATCCGTTAGATTCGGTTATCAGACACATCAATTAGGACGAAAAGAGACCTTCTTTTCCGAACTACTACTGAATTTAGGCCTGGTGTACATGTTCGTGGCGCTGGCGGTGGTGTGCGACGAGTTCTTCGTCCCCAGCCTCTCCGTCCTCACCGAAGTGGTCAGTCAATTACGGAAATCTTGTATTAAGATCAATAAAGTACCCCATTCCGATGACTGAAGTCAATTATTGGATTTTAGACCGTCAAGAATAGCCAAAATTCTGAAACATTTTATGAATGTTTTAGTAAAATTTTATTATGAAACTACGAACCTATGCCTAAGTGTATAGTCGGGAAATGTTTCAAACCTTGACCTAAAAAGCCAAAAATTATCGGAATTAATATATGATCAATTATGGTTTTCTTCTGCAATTTCAGTTCGCGATCAGCGATGACGTGGCCGGGGCAACATTTATGGCAGCCGGCGGCTCGGCCCCCGAGTTCTTCACCTCAGTTTTCGGCGTGTTCGTCGCGCACAATAATGTCGGCATTGGGACGATTGTTGGTGGGTTCTTAATTTATGTAAAAAAATGTATGATAGGAGTTTCAGTATACAATTTAATTAGTGAATTTTATCGTCAGCGCTACCTGCTGCGTATTGACGACAAATTTTTCGGGAGGTCCTATTAGACTTAAAACATATTTTTGAACGCCAGGAAATCATTTGCATACTTTTTCCGTGCTTTTCGCATCTAAAAAAAGCGTACCTGAAAATCTTTTGTATTTAAAATAAGCTAGCAATATTATAAGAGAAAATTGTCACATTTTATGGACGTGGGGAAAATGTAAAAAGGTTACATTAAATGCTATCTTCGATGGAGCATGCATTATGCAACCGCACAAACGGTCATTTCCGGTCAATTTAGAAACATTTTTCTTCTAAAATCCGCCTGAAAAAATCAAACTCAAATCAAAACAATTTCCACCTTTTGGTTGTTAAATTTAAATTTTGAAATAGGCTGCGTTGATCTAACAAGGTATTTTAAACAAATATAAAGAACATTAGCTGAAAAAATAGAATATGGCAATTCTTTGCACGTCGCATTATCATAGAATTTTAATTTTCGAAACAATTTTTAGCGTAGCGGTTTAGAAAGTGGGGTTCAAATACGAACTTAATTGAAACCCCAATATAGTAATTTCGTAATGAAAATAATGAAAAACCATTGAATTTCAATAAAAAATCGCAACAACTTCCAGGCAGCGCCACGTTCAACATCCTGTGCGTGCTGGCGTTTTGCACGCTCTTCTCGCGCGACGTTTTACATCTCACCTGGTGGCCGCTGTTTCGGTGGGTTGAAATTTCTCGAAAAAAGCTAAAAACCCCGACAGCCAAACATCAGGACAACCAAAATGCCGAAATGCCAAATAGCTGCTTAGAGGGGCCTGGAAAGCAAAATTCGTCGTGCGGGGGATTAAACCTACTGTTCAAAAAGTTAAAAGGGCCACTGCCGAGAAGTACTAGAAAAGCGATTTCGTTGCGAAAAAATCGTGAAATATTTGAGTAAAACCGAAAAGTTCTTGGGACGCTAAACCACAGCGGCCCGGCGCCTAATAAAACGTCCGGTAGAATTGGAAACCAAGAAAGACCGCAACGCGTGCGATAGACGCGTCGCGCCATTGCGAAAGCAAGCCTGCCCAGCTAAAATCATGCTGCTATTTCGCGCCCCAGGCAAACCCCGTACAGTAGGCCTTTTCCCGGGAGCCATCGGGACCGAACCCATGGGCGGTTGTGAAACGGCTTTTTGAGTGCGCAGCGAGTACATGTCGTAATGTCTTGTAAGGCACCCAATCTCTCGATCTCGGTGATTCTCTGGTCAATTTCCATGACGAAAAGCTCTATAGTGCTCAAAATTCGGTGAGGATTCCGGAAATCGCTTCCGAATTTTCAAATTCAAGTGTTTTCACGTTCAAACGGGGAAGCGGCACTTCGGAGCGCCTTTAAAAGGATGTGATCTTCAAGCTAGCGTCGGGAATATGTCGGGAATTTGGCTTTCGGGATTTCGGTTGTCCGGATTTGCTGTCGGGAGCTTCGTGGTCGGGATTTTCGTTTTCTGGAACAAGATTCGTATTACTCTTTTTCATACCACTACTGTTTCCGCAACTTTTTTACTAATTATTCTACCTTATATAATTTGGTCGCGTATCTTTGTCTGTGTGTGTGTGTGCGGAGGTCAGTTTCGAGGCCCGATTTGAGGGCCTTCCCGTGTCCAAAATGCCCTAATTCTCCGTCACCCGGGGGAATCGACCCTCCTCTTTCCGATGGCGTTTTCAGAATCCCGATAAAATACAAGTTTACAAAGTTAAAGCCAGTTTTATTGATTTTTGGGGCTCCGGGAGGGCTAATTTGCATAAGGTGAAAAATACAAATTTTCTCATTCTGGCCAGTTGCACTCGCGCGTGTGGTCGGACGGGGGGAGGGGGTCCGAAGGACCCGAGCTATCGGGAAGGCAAATTCCTCATGCAAAGGCCACATTCCAGCGCCCAAGGCCCGCGAAGCGGGTTTTGGGCGCTGGTAGTTAAATGAAACATAGAAATTTTAGGACGGATATATCAAATAAGAAATACATATTCAGTAAAATAGTAAAATTAATATGACTTGAATAAAAATATAAAGGTTCATGCCTTCATAAGTTATCTTTTGAAACATTTTTCAAAAAGTTGAGTATTGAGCTACTAGAGTTGCTAATTAGTTTTGGTATTACCGATGAATTGCAACGCGTAATTTTGCCTTTATAAACTAGCTTTTCTAGAATACTTTTGAATTTTAGCCTAAACGTTTCGTAAATGTAAAATTATAGCGACATGACGTTTTACATCCTGGCCCTGTTCTTCCTGGTGCTCTTTTTTGCCGACGAGAATATCGAGTGGCTAGAGGCGTTGGCCCTGTTCGCCATCTACATTTTATACGGTACTGTTTATATGAAATTTTTACACCGCCTTACATAAAAAAGCCTATAAAAAATTATGCAAACTTCCAAAAATTACTGATGGCTTTTTGTCCGGAGACTGTAAAACTTCTAGTACGTTTTGAAAATATTTTGATGATTTCCTAGCAGTAAAAAATTTCTACAAAAAAAACAATATAAACAGATAAATAAAATTAGCACAAATTGGCTGAAATCATATGTTGAACAGAACGTAGCCGGATTACAATTTCTGTAGCCACCACTGCCAGTGAAAAAAGTGAAACGTTGAGTTTCAGCGGTTCCAGTTTGCTTTAATTTTCTAACTATTCGTCTCCAGAAAAGCTGCTTGTGTTTCATCAAAAAATATATTTAACTTTACAAAAACCAGATGGTTACAGTCGCTTCGCGACTGCAACCATCTGGCCTTCGGGCTACCCTACATGTCCCACTCCACCACATCCTTTCCTACCTCCATTAATACCCCCCATGGCTGAAATCTCCTTCAAAAACTACCTAAATACCTTCCTGATGGCTTCAGATACCCCCATGGCTGAAATCCCCTTCAAAAACTACCTAAATACCTTCCTGATGGCTTTAGATGATTTAAATAATTAATTAACATAATTAAAAGGTATTAAAAAGTATTAAAGTAATTTAAAAAGCTATTTGGGCGCGGGAAGGGGCCTGGGGAAGAGGGGCGAAGGGAAAGGGGGCGTGGCTTCCAGGGAGAGGCGCCCCCACTCGTTTTATTAAGGCGCCACTTTGAAAGTTAATTTTAATAATTTAAACTAAAAGTTTTTCATAATTTTTTTTATCAGTTTGGGGGTTTCTGACCACGCTCTATCCGAATCCGAAGAGAGCTAAGCTCTAGCTCCTTTCCCCTTCGAGTTGAATTCGGCTTCAGACAGACAGACAGACGGACAGACGCGTCAAGAAAATTATTATAGTTGATTGGCTTATTGATCGGTGCGAGTTAGCGGTCACTCAGTAAACCCCTTCACCGTGTCAATACCTATTTTTTTCAGCGCTTTTCATGAAGCACAACGTGCAGCTGGAGCGCTTCGTAAAGGGACACATCCTCGGCGGGCCCAACGACAAAGTACACTCTATCGACACAGCTGGCAGTAATAACCTCAACCCGGTAAGACAGCGCTTTAAAGGTACCGGCAAGGTATGGCTATGGATCCTACTATATATAAAAAAGTAGTGTCTGTGTGTGTGTGTCGATTTGCATGCAACTTCCGTCTGTATGTCCGGAGGATAACTCAATAGGGGATGTATCTTAGGGTACTTATGATACATCATTAGGCGCGTAATGGCTTTGCGATGACTGCGCACTTCTAAGAATTATCCGAATAAGCTATTTTCGATATTAAAAATAAGTTTTTCTAAAATTTTCGAGAACCCTCTTTGGTAGGAAATAACTAGCATATACCGGAAGTAAAAGAAGCCTATATAAGGCGATGAAAGGAAATATTTTCATTTTTTTGGCAGCTTGATTGAGGCGAAATTATGCAAAGTTTATAGTTTCATTTGTCCAAACGGGGCCAGGGTTGAAAAGTCGCGAAGCGGCTTTTCAACCCTGGTTTAATTGAATTTCTAGGCGTTGCAAAGGGCCATTCTTTTAAAATTTCGCTCCAAAACGAATTTTAGCCTAAAAGTACTATTATATGGGCTGCGCGGGTAGAAAGGCATGCCTCCGAAACGCCCATTTTTTCAATGTTTCATCGAAAAGTTCCATAAATTTGTCCGTGAAACAGTAATGCTCGTTGTCACGGAGCTGCCCTATTACTTTGACTCATAGTTTAACCTGGAAATAAAAAGTGAAAATTCTTAGAAAAACAAAAAAAATAGAGGAACTTTTATAAGAAAAAGACGAGGCACTTAAAAATTACTCTAAACCGATTCTAATTATGCAAAAAAAGGGTTTTGCTTGATGAAAAATCGGCAACATAAAAATTATGTAATGCCAGTGGTTCACTAAGCCGCACTGACAGATAATAAAGACCTCCGTTGGACGAATACCAGCACAAAGTATCTTGCACAAACTTAATTTTTCGAAACATTTAGTTTTTCAATGTTTCATCAACAAATTGAGGCGCTTTGGATATTAGGCTGATAATCAAATGCGATCCTTCGTTGATGCGTCACATAGCTTAAGCATATCAACTACAATACATCGACTAAAAACTATAAACTACGCCTTCCAGAACCAGCTCAGCCGCCAGGAGCACCGTGTCTCGATGCCGATCATCCACGGCGGACAGCACATACGCAGTGGCATTGCGCATATGGCGTTGGGAGAGGATGGGGATGGTATGTTTCAAAAAGAATTAAACATCGCCAAGGTTTCCGCTTTGCAATCTCATTGGTTCTGGTTGGTTTTACAAAAAGCCGGGATGATCCCCGATCACGTAAAAATCTTTTTTTTAATGATTTTCTAATTTCAGGCCATCATACGGAGCCGCCGTCTCCGACTGGCGGCCCAAACGTCATCACCGTACAGCCGTATGAAAATGGCAGAAGGAGAGGTGAATTTCCGAATCGTTTCCTGCTATTTTAGCACACACTTACACCAATAAATTGGCATTCTGAGCCTCCTCACATTGCCTCATTTTTTTGAAACACTTTGAAATTATTCTTATTGACTTTGATACTTTTAAGGGGTGCAGGCTAGCAGAGAATGTTGAGGAAGAGGAGAGGGTAGGCTAGCAGAGATTGTTGAGGAAGAGGCGAGGGCAAGCTAGCAGAGATTGTTGTGGAATCCAAAAAAATCAATTACAAATTCCAGAAAATGGGCTGAAAACTGTCAGCGGGTTGGTGGACAAGTCGGAGGTGAGCGGGAAGCAGAATGGCAATGCCCACCCATCCATCGAGGCCGGTTTATTTTTATTTAGGTTAACTAGAAATTTAACCAAATTTATAAATTTTTGTTATTTTGTGGATTTTTTTCCAGACGCTCCAAAACGGGCACTCTAACGGCCAGAATGGTGGCGGCCATGCGCTAATGAATGGGGTCACGTTTGAAAAGGTGTGTTACAATTTTTAGTGAGGGGAACAACGTAGAAACAAGCTTTATTATTCACAAGCTCGAAATATAGCATAAAAATGCATTTTTTTTTGATATTTAGGTATTAAAAAGCCAGATTAATATTTTATTTACATCTAAAAACATTGTAAAATGCTATAAAAATCGTTCAATTTTGTGATAGGGTCGTATAAAAATACAGGAGAAGCCCGGAAAAATTACTGAAAAAAAGGAAAAATCCAAGCCACCTCCCCACCCGCATAAAATCCAGTACGGAAAATAATTTGTAGAAAAACTTTTGACTAGATTGGTGATTAAGAAAATTTCTTCAGTTCCGAAATTCCTGAAACATAAAATTTTACCTATTTTATTCAGGTGACACTGGCGGATGAAGTGGACGAGCCTCTCGATCTCTCGTGGCCAGAGGGCCGGATGAAACAACTCGTCTACGTTCTCCTAGCACCTATTATATTCCCACTCAGCCTCACCCTGCCGGATGTCAGGAAACCGGTAAGGGCTTCATAAAATAAGGATCGGCATATTTGCAAAAAGTGTTAAAAGAATTTAATTTTTGAAATATTTTTTATAAGACCGCTGTATGCTGCAATTGGCTGGTTCGAGCACGATCAGTCTTAAGAAGGAGCGCCGCACTTTTGTTGCGATATTGGGTTTTTTCAGAAATCTTAATTATACCAATGCTTTGTAACATGCTTTTTGTAATTGTGCAAACCATAAAAAAATGTTTCCATGTTTCTCCAAGGCCAACAACTAACGTTGCCATTATTCCTGCAACTTCACTTGTGCATTTTAATTATTATTACGAGGCCGACGATTTAATAAACTTAATTTAGACCTTAAGCCTAGGTCCAAAATTAAAAAATGTTTTTAGCAAAAAGTCAGATGCTAAAATTTTTTCTCTGAAACAGTGCATTGTCTATCAACATCATTGATCGACAAAGCTTTTAAAGTGCCCATTTACATCCCTTCATTTCGGAAAAAAACAGGTTTGAGAAAAAATTCAAAGGTGCAAAAATTCAGGATTTTTAGTCATCAATTCCTGGCGTCAAACTAAATAAAAATTTTCGTGAGCGTTAAAGGGATAGGGGCGGCATAAGTCAATCGATTACACGCGGGAAAGAAAATGTCTCTGCGCCTCTCCCTTGGGCGCCCTCTCTCGCCTGTTGGCTACTTGCCAATTTGTTGATGAGGGGGGATCGACACGTGCCGTCGGCAGCCCTTTAACTATTTTTAATTGGATTCAATTAAACCCATAATTTTTTGATTGCAGGAGAGCCGCCGCTGGTTCGTGGTGACATTCGGCGGGTCGGTGCTGTGGATCGCCTTCTTTTCGTATTTAATGGTCTGGTGGGCGAATACGATCGGCGAGACGTTGGCCATCCCAACCGAGGTATCTAAAAATTACACCGTTTAAAAAAATGCCCATAATTGCTAACTAATTCATAGGCTAACTTCAGTTTTTAAATTTCAAAATGTTTCAAGTTTTAAAATTTGAATTTTGCCAATTTTACACAATAATCACATTTGAATTGACTTTCAAGGCCATTTCGCATTATCGGGAGGGGGCTTTTGTTTATAGGTCTAGAAATGCCCAGTAAGTGAATAGAAAGTGTTTTAAGAATGTTTTTAATAACCTCTATCTATATTTCAACTACGAAAAATCGAATCACTTTAAAAATTATGAAAAAGTGCAATTTTGGTAAAAATCTGCTTAATTTTGTCGAAAAGTATATATTTTTGATATTTTCGAATAAATAAATTTTTGAATTCTACACGTCAATAACAAGGTTTAACTAAACTTTACCTACATTTCGAGAGAAACATTTTTCAGATAATGGGCCTAACGATCCTCGCTGCCGGGACATCAATTCCGGACCTGATAACATCAGTGATTGTCGCGAGGAAGGGCCTCGGCGATATGGCCGTCTCCTCGTCCATCGGCAGCAATCTTTTCGATATTTGTGTTGGGTACGGTGGATTTAAGCTGGTCCAGTACTCAAAAAGAAGAGACTAAAAAATTTATCTCGAAATTTTATGTTTTAGAAAAGATCAATTAAGGCCGCGTTTTGCAAGCGGTAATTATTGCGGGTTCGCACCATCATTGAATTCTGACAGTTCCTGGCTTGCCTGCTAAATAATATTATGCTCGATTTTGGAATTAAAAAATTTAAATAAAAAACATAAATTCAATGTTTCGAATTTTTATTAATTTTTAGGTTTTATTTGTCGGGATTTTCCATCAGGCTTGTTTACCTAAATTTCGAGATCATCGATTCGGCATTTTGAAAGTAACCCGAATTGGATTTAAATTCGTTGTTACAAAAAATTGCATAAAACACAGAGTTTAAAAAATTCTGTGTTTCAACAACATCTAAAGACCAAAATGTAGGAAGTGCTTGAATTCAGCTTCGGAGCACTGCAAATTTTATCTTTCTACAAAATTCTAATTAACCACGTGCTTCCTAAAATGAATTAATTATCTTTTCAGGCTTCCCGTGCCGTGGTTGGCCTATTTCTTGGCCACCTTCTTCCGCACCCACTTTCAGCCGGTGCCCCCAATTTCTGTGATATCCAATGGTAGCGCTTTACTTTCAATAAAATAACTTCAAATTTATTTTAATTATTGCGATACACCACTGATTTCTTAACTTATTTTAGTGGCTTTAAACTAAAAAATATCGATGTTTAGGTCTCATTTGCTCGGTGGGACTGCTTTTTGCGATGTTAATTGTGCTTGTAATTTGTGTGGCAGCTTCAAAGTAAGTTTTTCAGGATACACTGAAATTTAAAAATTTTTGAAAGGTACTTTTTTAATGTTTCGGGAGAAAAACGGTTGACTGAGCTTTAGTATTTGCTAATTCCTGCGAAAGAGGTTTTTGATCTTTTTGAATATGGGTCAATTAGCAAAGATTGTTGATGAAGAGGAGAGGGCAGGCTAGCAGAGATTGTTGAGGAAGAGGAGAGGGCAGGCTAGCAGAGATTGTTGAGGAAGAGGAGAGGGCAGGCTTGCAGAGATTGTTGAGGAAGAGGAGAGGGCAGGCTAGCAGAGGTTGTTGAGGAGAGGAGAGAGGGCAGGCTAGCAGAGATTGTTGAGGAAGAGGAGGAGGGCAGGCTGCAGGATTGTTGAGGAAGAGGAGGAGGGGAGGCTGCAGGGATTGTTGAGGAAGAGGGAGAGGGCAGGCTAGCAGGGTTGTTGAGGAAGAGGAGAGGGCAGGCTAGCAGGGTGTTGAGGAAGAGGAGAGGAGCAGGCTAGCAGAGATTGTTGAGGGATTCAATTCCCTGAATTTTCAGATGGCGGATGGACAAATTCTTCCGGGCTGGTGATGATCGTCTCCTATGTCATTTTCTGCATATTTTCCATTTTCTCGAGACGGGCCACGTCACGTGCCGTTGCTATTTTCAGAGGCGGCCGGGTTGCTGGCTACCGTCTCCTGATTTGGATATTTTATTGGTTGTATTTGATCGTCAGAGAGCAATAAATGTTTTAAAATAATTACGATTAGGATATTTATTAATTAGGAGGAACCAAGCTTACACGCGTATTAGTATTCGAGGTTTCCGGGCTGACTAGACAATTTATTGAAACATCTCAAAGAAAAACAGCTGATTTCAGCCTAAAATGAGAGATAGGAGAGAGAAAGCGAGAGAGAGAGAGCAGCACCAAACGCCCGACCCCTATTTCCCGACCCGTCTGCCATAGCCAGACCCAGAGGAGTCAGCGTCACTCTGCGTCTCTCGCCCTCCCTTGTCTCTCTCTCTTTCTCTCTCTTTCCCTCTGGATGTGCCCCGGGGGCTACAAGCCGACGATGTGTAATGTCCCCCTTCCCTTCCCATCTCCGCTTCTCGGTCCAACCATCCACATCCATCCGCCCCACCAACACTCACTTTTCCGCATCTATACTCTTGGCATTTCGATTTCTTTAGGAATCATTTTAATACTAAAATTACGTTATTAAATGCTGCTACGGCTTTTTGAGCCCATTTCATTAAAAACAAGGGTTTCGAAAAAGTGTTACTTCTTTTTTTCTTGCAATAAATTACATGAAAATCTAATCGACGGGTTATTGCCACAAAATCCGCCAACTGTTAACGTTTTTTTTCTTGGAGCATGCATTTTCAAAAATCTGAGAAAACTTGTTGATTTGGTTGGTTTCTCTGCGATCAACATTAAATTCTAGTAGCTAAATAAATTTTGTTTTTAAATTTCTCGCTTTAAAACTTAACCCTTCCAGGATATGATATTTGATCTTAGATACAACTTATCCCAAAATTAAATAAAATTACAAAGTAAACACTCATTAAAATGCTACAATTTTTCAGGTTGTTTTAAGAAATTTTGAAACATCTGGTTTTTGCTCTCTTTTTAGCTGCATCTAATTTCTTCTTTAGCAGTTTCCTTGTGCAAGGTTGCAACATCTGCTTTCCTAATCCGCTCTATAGGAATTTATAAGCACCCTGCTTTTACTAGAATTGATCCCAGATTTGTCTTTATTTACCTGTAAGGATTCTGATATCTACTAGTTATCGTTTTTCAATCGAGCGGACTGTACAAATTCGGCGTACGAATTTGCATACTTATCAAGGATTTTTTAAACCTTCATTTTTAATTCGTTTGGTACCTTGCTTTTTTGCTTTGCGTTCTTTTCGAGGCGGAAATCGTTGCAAAAACTTCTTCTATTTTTTAGGGATTTTTGAAACAAAGATTTGCCAGGCGGGTTTTCTAAAACTAAAACCTTTTTTTGCTAAATCGTAAATTCCTTTTTTATACTCAAGCCATGAAACTCTTGAGCAATTTGTAGTCCGAGATTCTATATGCAAATATCTGTGCGGGGGCCGACCTCGCCCCGGGTTGGTACTCGACAAACAATATGTCACTCTAGTACCTGTCCCGACGGCTACCCCCTTGCTTTCTTACCCAAATTTACATGCAAATGGGCTAATTTTACGATTTTTATTATAGTTGCAATATTTAATAGTTTTTATTAAATGATTTCTTGCAACCAATAGCTTGATTCGGAATTCACCAATTGCAATTAATTGTGAAACACCTTTTTACAAACCGCTTAATTTTCGACACTAACTCTCTATTAACTTTGAAACTCAATTTTCAAAATCCAAAAATTTTTAATGGAGCGTAGAAAATCGGCGAAAAGGCTAAGATACTGCGTTTTGAGAGGAATGTATTTCGCTCAAAGTAAACTCTCGTTTCCCGGTTCACCGAATTTGTAGGAAGCTAGTCTCCGGTTTTGCGTTCTTTTTCCAGGTTTATGTTTCATGAATCGGCAAAGTCGTCGTCTTCGCTTAATGATAATTCCCGGAAACTTCGTAATCCATTTTTTTTCTAAATTGCAAGTATCTTTAATTCTTGTGAAAGAAGAAGGCTATCACTTTTTGCTTTATCTTGAAAAGCAAGATGTTTCATAGGTTGCTAAAATAAGCGTTTTTCTATACGGTCGATGGTCAGCAGATGTACGCGTTCTGTAAATCCCAGAAAAAAAATTTGAAATCTCTCTGAACCGTTAATTTCTCTAAAGAGAATTAGAATCTCTTCTGAATCCATTCCCCCCCCATCGATTCGACTGCTTGCCCGTTCCAGCCCCCCTTTTGCCCCCATTCAAAACATTCTTCCGTCCGTTGAGTCATCCGGCGAAGCGTGTCGAGAATTTTGCGATTTAGAACTTTCTTCATATTTTTCCGGTCTTTTTTAATAGCTGTTTAATACAGTGTTTCTCTGCTGAAAGCAAACGGAAATTTAATTTCTCCAATCAATTTATCATGTTTAAAATTTCCCGAAAATTTTTGATTGATGATTCTAATGTAATCGTGAAACTGGCTTCTTTTTTTTGCTTCGATGTTTCATAAAAACACAGTAAACTGCTTTGCGCTTTAACCTCAATACCATACCGTACCAACAGGTCAACATACCTTAATTAAGTGCTTTCTAAGCTCCGATTGAAAAAATTTGTATCAAGAATTTGCCAATTCCGTAAATTTTATTTTTTCAGATTAATTTATTGAGATATATGGCTTTTTCTAATTAACCTTTTCAGGGTTACGGTAGCGGCGTAGCGTCGCGTAGTCTGTGGCTATGGCCCATCTGATCGAGGAGAGGGGCCATTATGCCCCAGATGGATCTTGGCAATTATCCATTCTGGTCACCGATATGAATATTCAGGTGAGCGAGCAGAGATTGTTGAGGAATATTCAGGAAAAAATATGTTTCAAAAAATCTTAATAATTGTATTTTTTATATATGTAACATTATTAGTTCTAAGTGGCAAATTTCAGCGAAACCTCTACGTGACCGGCGAGGAGCACATCGGCGGCTTGATGCTGAAGCTCGTCAACGAGATTGGCACGTTTTTAAAGCCCTTAAAATTCAATTATCGACTTTTATACGTTTTTCACCTGTTTCCGGTCCGTTTAATTGATTTAATTGATTGAAGCTTCGATTCCCTTTAGCTACCCCGATTCTGGCCATTTGCCAATTCTCCCACTGGGTGCATAGCCTAGGGGCACAAACACACAGCTGTGAGCAGCATCCACTCTTGCTCCCCTGGCCGCCTGGTCAAAAAAGTGCCGCCTGAAAAGCACCCACGCTTTACACAACCGCTGGCAAAGGCTTTCTCTAACCCTCTCTCTCTCGCTCCCTCTCTCTCTCTCTCTCTCTCTTTCTGCTCCCCTTCGCTTATCTCTCTCTCTCTCTCTCTCTCGCTCCCTCTCCCTCCCGGGCCAGAGAAGGTACAGCCGGAAAAATGCTGAAATTTCAAAGAAAAATCCCTCCAAGTTTGGAAAATAACGGGAGATGAAATTTATTTAATTCGAAAAGTATCAGGTTGGAAAAAAGTAATGGCACAAAAAATCGTTGAACGGCCACAGGCGAATTACGATACAATCTTTAAACTCTATACGGAAATTTTTCGAAACATGAAAAAAGCTGAATCTTCGCTGACCTGCGCTTCTTCAAGTCTCTCTGCTAGCTTGCCCTTCCCTCTTCCTCAACAATCTCTGCTAGCCTGCCCTCTCCTCTTCCTCAACAATCTCTGCTAGACTACCTTAGTTTTTAAGCAACACAGTACTGTTGCACGGATTCATGCCAAGGTTGGTTCCGGATTCCCTAAATTTTTTGAAACACCTTAAACACGAAAAACTCGATTTTCGCCAAAAATCAATTCTTGGCCCCATGCCAACTCCAAAATGCATGCCCAATTTTGATGGGCTGTCGGGTGGCATCGTGGGGGACGATGAATCTCTGATGAGTCACTTTTCGACAAGCGGCTCCCGAATTTGGGGGCGAGAGTAGTCCCCAATTTCTGGAGAAAAATAGAGGAAAATTGAATTTAAAGAAGCAGAAAGAATTTTTGGGTTCAGAAGATTCTGAAATCTAGAAATTTTTTTTTTGAATAAGTCTCGGGGGAAAATTGCGAAAAAATTGAAGCAGGCTAGCTGAGGGAATTGGTGGAAAACTACCCAGGGCAGGCTAGCACAGGTACCTTGAGAATTCAGCTCGAAAACTCGGGTTCGCAAACCATTAAATAAGATAATTACATGTATTCCAGCACATTAATAATGGCACTCGGGATGGTGTCGCAATGTTTTCGGTGAAACATTTCTAAGAAACACTCTTTTTTTGAAACCAGAAAACGCCAAATCAATCCGACGCTAAATTTATGATAGCGACGAACCATAGTATATTTTTGAGCGAATCATTTTCTACTTGTTTTTGTGAAACCTATAAAATCAACATTGTTTTATGACGCGGGAAATATAACGATGCAACTTCCGCTTTGAAAAAGACGCTTCAATGGCGTCTTTTTCAAACTCTTATTCCTATTCTCGCTTCCAAATCCAAAAACATTTTTTATTCGCCCTTTGAAGGATTCGAAATTCCTGATCCCAGAATTTTTTAATGGTAAATTATAGACGAAACATAAAAAAGTAACGCTAGAATTAAATTCAATTTATTGAGTCTGTTTAAGTTTTATGATATAAATCTCGATTTTTCAGACATCTCGCGCGATTGGTCGGATCACGCGCTGTGGTGGCCGGACAAGCGCCAATGGCTCAGGCATACCAGGAGCACGCTCGATCAGGTATTTTATTGCATGAAATAACGAACAACATTCTGCACAAAATGCCGTAAGAGAAATCCTATTTAAAGCGCACGTTCAGGCACGTTGAACGTATACTTCCTATTGACACCTGCGTCTCCCTCTTTTCCCAGTCCCTCGGCGTCAATAGGAAGTATACGTTCACCATAAATATACGTCCCTGAACGTGCGCTTTAAGGCGGAAATTTTGTGAATTTAAAAATTTTTTTGTGGATAAGGAAAGCTATTGGGCGCGATTAATCGGAGGAATGCAGATTTTTCACTGATTTTCCATGAAACATTTTTTCAGAAATGTTCGATTTTTTGAAAAATGGAATGTTT